CATGCTACATCAGGCCATTTTACACTAAAACTGTTGCCCTGTTGAAATCCAGTTTTCTTCAGATTTCAGACTGCACGTTTGATTCATAACGATCAGAAGATACCTAATAGATAATACACTTGAACAAATCTCTGAAGAGCTTTGCAAATACCTTGCCAACCTATCCTCTTTAAAGCAATAAAAAAAGCAATGCAAGCTTTATCTACTTAACAGCAAGGTTTTTATTGTCACTTTGTACTAGCTTTCTTTCTCCCCTGATGTCATATAGGATAATTAAAGAAACACAGTTTAGTAAGCCCCTGAAGTGTTCTTTTTCTTTTATTTATTTTTAGATTTGAATTTTTTAGCGGCATATTTATAGATTCATGTCACCCTTTAGCATTCCTTACATTTTCTATCCTGGCCTAGCTTTCACATCTCTTGTTATCGTTAATCTCCACAGCTCAAATTTGCCTAGTCTGAAATCCATCATTGTACATCGTTTAATGAGACATTTCTCCAGTCATCATTACTGCATATCAATAGAAACAAATCCCTGTCTCCTCACTGGTTTAGCTAAGTATCTCATGCATGACTGTCTTTCCAATTTGATCCAGTTTAACAGTCTGTTTCTCCCCCATTCCCAGCCTGGCTTCTCTAATCTGTAGAGATAGATATAAATCTTGAGCCAGACTCCAGGGGGTTTCTCTTGTACAGTCTTCCCCCTGTTTGTGCAAAGCCCTCCTTGACTGACTGGCTACTGTTGCCAGACAAACAGCTGCTTTTAGCAGTTGCACTAACAAATAAAAGGGAGGTAGGCAGGGGCATTGGAGGGAAGCTTTTTGCCCTTAGGGTTCTTGTGCACTTACTGAGAAATTCAAAAGCTAATGGGGGTCCATTGCTGAAGGGAAAATGAGAATAATCTGTGATCTTTGGAAAAGAGTGAAAATCCATCACCACTAGTGAGAGTTTCACATCAGCATATCTTTTCAAGGCTACCTCCACGAGACAAAGGGGTTAGAAACTAATAAGTAAAAGCTGAGATTTTCCTTTTCATTGCTCTGCCCTGTAGGCTGGATGCTGGATTGACAAGTCTCTCTCACCTCTCCCAGTTTTCCCCACTATCAAGATAGGACTCATGAATGTGGTTCAAGGAATTTTTAGTGCTATGTAACTGAACACAAACAGTCCAGATTAGACAGACATCTGAGGGGTTTGGTTGTCCCACTCCTTGCCTCCTCAGCCATCCCCTTTGCTGTTTTTGCAGTCCTGATTGCTGCTCTGTGTGGTAGTTTTGTGAAACTACATACAGATGTATTTAAATGGCGGCAAGTGGTCAAGTGTTTCGTTGATGAGATTTTAGGTGCCTGGCTCGTGCACAGGAGCAGATTAAAAAGAAATTGTTGACATGGGTACTGCCTTGACCTGCTTGGCCTACCTTTTTGGTGGAGGCTGCTGCCACTGGTGCAGATATGATGGCATGGGTCCTGGACTGCGTCAGCTGGGAGCTGCCCTGAAATGTGAGAGCTTTTGCTCTGGCGTATTACAATAACCTGAAGCTGGCATCGATTCATGCTAATGTCTTGGGCTGTAACCTCTGGTAGGCCAGGACATGCTTCCCAACTGATCTCTCTGTCTGTAGGGGTCTGTGCCCTAGGGTGAATGGCAGAACAGGCTGCCAACCCACCTTGAGCTGACAATTTCAGTCTGCTGCAAGTGCAGTGGAACCCTAAAGCTCTATGTCTTAGATCATCAGTCTACTTATAACATTCATGTATAGGTATGCACAACCACATACATGTTTACATACAGGAAAGATTTGTTGTTATGGATCAGGTATAAAGAAGATAATAATTACTTGCTTTAGTGGCAGTAATAATGTGCATGTTTCTCCTTAAGATATGATAGCACATATACATTGCTATCAGGGCTGATCATTTGTCTGTATATATTTTTATTGCTCTCAGAGGAGTTTGAAAGATGAATCCATAGTTTGTGAGATGCTGTGATATATACTGCTGTTCAGGTAGGGAATTGTAATAGAGTTTGCTTTTCTCTGTCACTCACTACACTGCTATTTTAATCCTCATTCATGGTCTTCTCCCTTGCAGATCCTTTCCCTGCACTGGTTTGGGGATAAAGGAAATCATGTTCTGTACATAGATCTATAATATAAATGTCAAGGTTTATTAATGATATCTCAGAAAATTTGTATCCCTTATTCAGTGACAGGTTGCAGTTTTGTGAAAGCGATGCACCTAAAAATAACACTTAACGCTCCATCATTTACACATTTTACAAAACCTCCTTTTAAAATTCTATTTCTAAAGACCATAAATACTCTCTTCTGAAGCATTCCTGAAATTCAGGTGACAAATCCAAAGACTCAGGTGACTGCTAGTGCTTGTTCGGCCAATGTGTTAGAAGGAACATAAGAAAGGAGACATTTCAGTGCCTTCTCTCATTCGAAGGTCCTGGTTTATGACATGTTACAGTGACACCTGGTGGAAAACAGTGCTGGAAGTCTAAGACAAATTTCTGCCTCATGTAAAGAGTTGCTCATTTGAATAACGTCTTTAATGTTTCTGTTCTGTTAACTATCTATATTGCATTACTGGTTAGAGCCCATCTGGGCAAGGCATGCATGTACTACACATATATAAGTGTGCAAATGCTCACTGACAAGAATCATCAGCATCACTAATAGCAAATATTTCCACCTATAAAAGGTTAGTTATGTGTATTTGATAGTAAGCAAGTTTCCTCTCCCTAAGAGCCAAACGCCAACATTTTATATGGTTGCCAAGTTCTTTTTCAGGCTTTCAGATGCACCTTGATTCCGTTCCTAACCAGGTTCTTAACTCAATCCCTTCTCCCATCCCACTGCTCCTCCCTATATACCCCCAAACAAGACCCAAGATGTCCTAATAATCAATTAGTTCCTAAAAAAACCCCTCCAAACCAAAACAAAAAAAAACCCTATTAAATAATTAAATGCAATTAAAAGATTTTTTTTTTTTTTTTTTTAAGATTGAACTTAGACATATTTGTTTATCTGGACTACAGCTAAGCTAGTAATGTAAATCCATGCCAGCCAGCATTCCTAGTCTTGAGTGACCACATAGATCAGCTGTTAAACTGTTGTCCCTGACTGGTTTTGGTCCACATCAACACTAGCCCAAATAATATCCAGGAACAGTTTGTAACAGTAATAAAACCTGAGAGCCATTTCTCGTATGTATTTCAGTTGTGGCTATCTTCTCTTGGAGTGTGAGTGGTTTTGTGATGCGGGTTACCCCATGCCACCTGCTTAGGTACATATTAGGTATGTGGGTACATTTAAATTACTGGTGTAGACCTACTAGCCCTAGAGACAATATGCTGGGGGTCTTAAATTTCCTAAAGATCTACCCAAAGCACAAAGTGCTCTGTCTCAAGAAGAAATTGCAGCCTACATCTGCCTGTCACCAGTTTCCTCTTCAGTTTTTCTGCTCATGTGAGCTCTGACAAAGCTTCTTCAGCCAAGATGAGCTGGATTAGCAAAGAGCTACGATTTAAGCAGTCAGACTAAACTGGCTTATTTTGGCTGCAGCTAAGGAGTTTCCTCCTGAGCAGCTTTGCTGGTGGGCTGGATTGGGGGCAGCATCCTTCTGGAGTGGAGAACAGACAAGAAAACGGGGCAGTAACTCCCCCTCATCTGTGTAGCTGAAAGCCCTTGGCCAAAAGCTAAGTTCATCTTAGACAATTCTTACTCTTATCTAGGAGTTCTCTTGAATCACGGTGAGGAGGCTGAGATAATGCACAAGGAAACCCCCAAATGCTTCCCAGCACAACTGGAATAAAACAAATGAGCCTGCTTCTTCCTCTGTCCACCTTTGACCTATGTGCTTGGCAATATCCATTGACTCTCTATAGCCTGGCTTATCCTTTTCTTGTGCCTTGGTGCTTTTAGCTCCTTTCACCTACTATGCGCGGGCACAGCAGCACATGGGGCTGTGCTGCAGTCTGAATCAGAGAGAACACTATCAGGTTAATGCCAAGCAATCCACTTCAGTTGTTGCTGGGTTAGTGTTAACCAGATTCTTAGCCTGGTTTATTGCATGACTGCAGGAATGTTTGCTTGGCAAGTGAGTGGGGCTTGGAAAGGTGTGATAGAAAAGCAGGTCCCCTTCTTAAGCAGCAACAAGAGGGTGTGTCAGTTCAAACTGATCTTCAGAATGCTATACTATTTATAAAATAGCACATTTTATTTATAATGCATAATACATGCACAAATATGACATAGAAATTGTTTATATATACATATATAAATGTAAGCTAGATCAACTTCCTACTGCAGTTCACAGAATGGCTCTGGATAGCTCTGTCAGTACAAGAGAGATGTGCCAAAGACTGGGAGCTGGATGTATCTTAAGCTTGAATTTCCACTGACCTCTTCAATGTGAGTGTCCAACTTAATGTAGGACTATTCACCTATCTTTAAATCAGATGCATGATTTATCCATCAGCTTCAATTTTATTCCATGATACGGGCACAAACTTTCTAGTACTAGTGCCTACTCACATAGAATCCCTAGCAGACTGGCTCTGGTTAGTTTGTGTCTGTGTTGTATCTGAAGGCAGGCTGGCATCTGTTTTGAGTGGTATTTTTGTGTGGAAATGGAACATTTGGAAACAGTCATTAAAATAGAGAATTAATTAACATTTTTATACTGACTGATGTGAACTGCAGTGTTTTCTAACAAGGTTATTCATAATCACAAAGAAATTTTCTTAGCCGAATCCACTTGAAAATATTTAGAAATCGCCTAATTGCAGTAGAAATGAAGCTTAAGTCACTTTTCACTCACTCTTTCCTGTTCCCATGCTGCTCGGGGCACCTGATTTGAAGTATTGCAGTCAGTTTCCTCTTTGCGTTAATGGTATTTATGTAAGGAGATATGCTGACTTTCATTGGTTTACTCTTTTGTTTCAGTGGTTTAATAAGAAACTGAATAGATGTTGTGCAATTGCAAGACCAGTGCTCCAGGAAGCTGAAAAGCAGTTAAAGGAAAGGAGTGTGTAAAGAAGGCTTTAAAAATTATTTAATAAACCGGAAAGCAACTTTAGCAGTTGCATCTCCATCATCTAGACTGAAAGGAGTTCATATGGCCAAGTCAAGGAAAGAATCAGACTGACAGATGCAGTTGTTTAAGTTATGAGGAACACTTGCCTGTGGGGTCTCCCGCTAAACAGACTTGCTGTTTTTTCCTGTGTATGGATTTCTGCAGTGAACTGTACTTTCTCAAGAAACTGTCAAAACTTATGTACGAGTAACCTGGTAAGTTTTGAAAACTGTGCTTCATCTTTTGCAACATAGATGGTTGTTAGCACCGTAGGAACTTCCTACTATGTATGTTTTTTTAATTTATTTTAAATAGTGTGTCTGAGTAAAAGCAGAGTTTGAGAACTAATGTTTTGTGGAACCTGGTAAATAAGAAATCCCATTAACCAGATTGCATGGGTTTTCATCTTGTACTTTCTTTATACACTTATGTTCCAGCAGCTCCTGAAATTACTCTAAGTGCTAAAGACCCTGGAGGGTGGAAGAGAGAAACCTTTGTTCTTTCAGTTCATGCACTTATCAGTTTGTCTAGTCTATGACTTTTCTTATGCAAACTGAGGAAACGTGTAAATTTACAAGAAATTATCTGGTATCTTTGGTTTGCATTTATAATGAACTAGTTGCAACTTCTTTTTTAAGTCCTGTATCCTTTAAATTGTGGATAGAACTTTAAGTATTAAAGTAAGTGATTGGATGCTTAATCTTATGGTTTCTTAGTGTTCCTTTGAGTAGCTGAGTGGAATTTATTATTTTTCCTTCTACTGATGCACAATAGAGATAAGCAGAACCACTCAAATCCAAACAATAATTCTTCATGAGACTTTCAGGAGTTCCCTCCTTGTTTCTATTTGCCTGAAATGTTGATGTTATTTAGAAGGCCATGTACCTTTGCTCTGTAAAAGGACATTTTGTGCCTTGGGCTAACTAACTGTGGAAACTTACTGCAGAAGACTCACCTGCTCTGTTTTATGTCATACGTTTGTCTGACAGTTCCTTTCTAACTCTTGCACTAGTGAAAGAGTTAATTGCTTTTCCTGATAAAAGCCTATCATGCAATGATAACTTTAATGGGGATCCTTTGATTTAAGCTTAAATTAATTCAGAATAAGAAATAAATTGCTCTTCCTCTCAGCTTTGAAAGACAGGAAAATCACATTCATGTTCAGTGAATGTATTGTGTAAGGGATTCAGATGAGAAAAATACAATCTTGGAGTCTGAGAGCTGTACATCTTATTTTTTGCCTCCAGTCTACTTGCTGTGTTCCCATTTGCTTTGTGACACCTTTGACTGTCACTATTGTCATCATGTGCCCAGTCTGTTGAAAATATCTGCCTGAAAATTATTTTTTTAAGGGTGCTGTTACCTCTTTGCAGGGCAAAACTGAAGACCTAATATTCAGTTTCTTGAAGGTTGTCAGATACATCCTCAAATCATTCTCACTTCACAAGCAGTAACTGGTTTTGCACAATTTGAATGTTGTGGAAAACTAAGCACCTTAGCTGAAGAGCACTTTTGACAGAGGAGGAATGAATGGTGGTCACCATATGGCTGAGTAAAACCCCTTCAAAAGGAGACCAGACAGAAGGGATTTAGCTTCAAGGAAGGTTTTTCCTGTTCCCAAGAGGTCAAAGCCACTTGGCTTTCTCATTTATTCCCAACATATTTCTGAAGGATTTGTTACTGACTCAGTGAACCAGAAACATGAGATGAGAGCCAGGTTCTTACCTGAGATTAAATTAACAACAACTGGTTCTGCCAATGTCTTTCTGGTACCATGAAATTAGTCTCAAGTGAGAAGCTACTGGTGTGTCAACAATAAATTTCTTCAAATTAGGAAACATTAATCAAAGAAAATGTGTTTTACAAGAAACCAATGCATTAATATATTTTAATAAAATAATTTGGGGGAAACATTTTGACTCCATAAAAATACATGTATTTCTCTTGTAGGAAGGAGAACTTGGAATAACTAACCTTTGCAATGTTAGTGACATCACTGGAGCAGTGAGTAATGGTTTACTTTGTTAATTACTGACATTTTATGTTACTGCTATTTGAATAAAGTGGGTACAATGATCAATCATATTGTCAAAGACTTCACGCAAATGAGCACAGTTGCCTGTCTGACATAAGTCATTAGGTTGTGTGCTGAGATTTGGCTCAAATTATTAAAGACAAAGCTATCTTTTTTGCTTAAAGAAAATGTGTAAAAAGTGTGGTTCTCTGCTGTGAGTCACGTTCATATTTGTAATCTACGAAGTTCATAATCACTCAGTTTTGAGAAAATGAGTCAAAGATAGTATTCCCTCCAAAATGTAAATCTCCAAGGTTTTTATTCAACTACCTTTGTACAGTAAAGTAGTTTATTTTGTTTCCTAGTGATTTGATGGGAGAAATCTTAAAATGGCAATTGTTGAAAAATTAGAGTATTGTAGCACTTCAAATGGTTTTGTCTATTGGGGAGCCTCTTTAACTTGACATGAGTTTTCTGTGGCAGCATTTTTGCAAAAACTTCAGCTGATGTTCTTGTAGTGCATATTTCACATGCAATTCAAGCTGCTGGTTATACATACCACTTGAAGAGCAGTGAAGAATTCAGTCATCAATATTTTCCACAGAGATTAGTGGGAAGCAGACTCTCAACGGCTGGTATCTAGCAAGGCTGTGTCATTTATGATGCTGGGACCATAAAAGTCCGTGCTGTCATGATAATACATGGCAATGTTGACTTGCTTATTTAGGTTACTGTGTATCTTTGCTCAGTGTTATCAAGTATTACTACTTGTTTCATGAGGCTTCCAGCTTCCCTTTAAAATAAATAATAAATGTACATGACCATTAAGAAATGGATGGAACAGAATGAATAAGAAAGATCCAACAACAAATCTAAACCACATAACATTTATAACATCTTTGAAAACTCATAATTTAAAAGCTGATGCCTCCCCTGTTGGAGAGTGGGGGGCTTGTGTTGAACAGCTTTGCACTGTGCTTGGATGTGCTGCATACTGCTTATTTGTTACTTCTCTACAGAGGACAAGTGACAAAATACAGCTGGGAGAGAGGGAGCACTGGCCACACACATCATAGCTGACTGGGTGACTCATTCCCAGAGCAAGAGTGAACACGGATTGTCTTAGCCAGGGCTCCTTCTGTCTCTGTGCATCAGCCCTTTCCCACGGCCTGTGTAAAGCTGAGCACCCTCCTCAGCTGATATTCACATTCTGCAGTCCTTTTAGTGTTCTCAGTATATGCAAGAGTGTCCAAGTCTTTACGAAAGCTGAACAGGTAATCAAGCATCTACGGTTTTGCACAAACCAGTCTCAAAGAATGATTTATTTTGTCTTCAGCTCTATATTTGATTTTACATTGAGAGGGCACTATGCAATGTAAGTCCCTTACTGTACTATCAGAGTACCTATAAACTTTGGTATATTTACTGGTTTTGTTACAGAGTTTAAGTGCTATTTTATTTAAGCCTATTTTATTGCTAAGGAACCATAGCACGAAGGAGCTAAATGACTTGGTCATACAGGTTATTTTACTGCAGCTGGAAATGGATCTATTGCCCTCACTTTTAGAGCTGGAGCATCTTGTCTCTTTAAAAATGTGCTTTCCAAGTCCTTTTTAATGCCACCATCTGTCTTTGCAGTGCACACAGGGATGTCAGTTTTGGAACGCTACAGTGCAAATCAACTGCCCACTGAAATGTGTGAGTATTGCCTCAGCCTTGCCTCTACAGCACGTTTCTCCAGCCCATCAAGTATGGCAGATGTGGAAAACTTAACCAGAACAGTGTTTCTATGAAAAGATGTAATGTCTGTAATTTCTCTCAGTATGTTTATAAATTCTCTTTTATGAAGTTAATAATTCTTGCTATGGGAGTTATCTGTACTGTCAAAAGTTTTCATTGTATTTGCTAAAATGTGGGGACATTTGACCCTTCATTAAGCTCAACCACTCACCCAGATTTTCAGGCAGCGAGAAAGTAGAGCTTTTCAGGATTTTACTCTATTGAGGCCTACCTCAGAATTGTATGCAGGTGTAAATAAAGCACATGGTCTTTACTAGATTCATTTCTTGCTTTTACTAAACCAGAATTAACATTGGTCTGGGACAGCTGCCATTGTAGTTTTTAAACTGCCTTTTTTTTTTTTTTCTGGACCTCTTGAACACCTGAAGCTCATTAATCCTTGGCACCATTTTAATGTTGACTTTCTGTTTTTTCAAGTGTGGATTTCACTTCTTTCATTTTTCCCAGTGATAAGGTTTTGTAGTGTACTTTCACTGTAAGACACTTCTCATTAACCATTATTTTGTGTTTGAAATACTCTGTGATTGTATTTATAGTAATCCCACATTTTATTCATTTGTTTCTTGGCAGAACAAGACATACACCAGAGCATGTGAGGTAAGCTAAATGCTATCAGAGCAAATGAAAAAAAATAATCATTATTTCAGTGGTTAGTATGTCCACACAGTGCTAAGAAATACAGTGTAGATACATGAATCTTATCAATCCAGGTCTAATTGTTTTGTGCTCCCTAAAGCTAAAGAATGAGTTAAGTACCTGAATCCTGTCTTTCCAGCATGGTGGCTAAGGGCATGTTTGCATTAAAAACTGGTGTGTAGCAAAGAATATTGCTTTAAAGAAAGCAGACTAACCAGACTAATCAGACCAGTATGGAATGCAGTGCAGATGTATTTAAACTGTGTTCTAGGCTCTCACAGGAGTCTTGCTCTATCCAGTTTTTCATTAATGCTATGAAAGACAGAGAAACCAGCTTGACACCAGCTTGATGAGAACTGGAAACAAAGAGTGGGAGCTAGAAGACAAAACACACTCCTGACTGGGTCAACAGTCCAAATGAAGTAAAATGCTATTCAGTAAGGGGTAATGTGTTGTCCTTTAGAAAGACATCTCAAATGGGGAGTGCCTGGTCTGTGCTGCAGATGCACTGGTGTTTACAGTGATAAGTATGACACAATAAAATACTGCTAAAGACAATGCCTTTCTGAGGACCATTTAGCATGAACATAGAATGTAGGATGGGAATGAAATGTTTGCAGGATTGTGTTGGGGGCTCTTGAGACCCATTGGCAAGCCAGAAATTCCATTAAATGGGTTGGGTTTTTTAAAGTTTTTCTAATCTGTGAAACTGTGACCATGACAAAGATTTACAAATATGCTTAATGGTGAGTTTGGAGTGTAGTAACAGCCCAAGAAGTAACCAAATTTTTTTGTAGAAACAGAATTGGGGTGTGTGTGTGGGTTGTTGTTGTTGTGTTGGGTTGGTTTTTTTGCTTGTCTGGCCACACAATATGCACTAACTCTGCAAAGGCTTTTGTGGGATTATCTTTCCACTGAATCAGTGGGCTGACTTGACTCCCCACATGGTCAGGCGAGCACCAGGTCACTGCATGCAGAGGATCAGGTCATTGCTGTGTGCAGGGGAAAGGAGTGGGAGTAAGAGTGGGATTTCTTATTTTCAGGCAGAGCAGATGGCAAATTTCCCTCAAAATTTGTAAGGCTGGGAGCTTCAGTAATCCTCTTACCTCAAGCAAAAATTAGATCTATGGTTTGGACAAAAATCAGAAGAATGAAAAACACGACAAAAAACAAACGGCCAGAAATGTCTGTTAAATGAAGCAGAAGGCACAATGAATCAGCTTGTAATCTGGGGACACTATCCCCTGTGAACTAAACAAATCCTGGTTGTAAACAAAAGCTTCAGTAGGTAACTGATGTCTGCTAATATCCTGATCTTTGTCTGCTATCAGTAATGATAACTAACTTGGAAATATTTTATTTCTCGGAATAAAAAACATTGGAAAAAAACTTATTAAATGCTTGCACTTGGCACTGAATACTTCATGTGAGATAATGTATATAGGAATATACTGATGATCAAGATTTTAAATCTATTTCAGCTGCAACCGTGTTGTCTGAAATAAGTGGTGTGCCTTATCAGTTCCCATAGGTGTATCCTAGAATCACAGGAAAAGCAATAAAAAGAATTTGCTCACTTAACATAATGAATTGTTTCTGAATGATCTAAAGGTTAATTATCACTTGAAAGGTGGCTGCTGCATGAAGGAAAATTCAAGATTTTATAGGCCAAATGAATTTGTGGAATAAAATAAGCCCAAATAAAATAAGCCCAAATAAAATGCCTGTTTAGAAAAGCTCAGACCATCACCTCTGAAAAGTTTTAGCTTCCCAGGAGACTGCTTGCATTTAGTTTTAAAGCCACTGAGATCCAGCTGGAAAATGTTACTACCTCTCCTCAAGTTCTCAACCTACAAAGCAGGGTAACACTAAACTGAACTGAACACTAAACACCTAAACTGAAAACTGTGAGGATTTTTCTGTTCTTAGGATGTGAGCATGGAAAACTCACTGCCCTGGCATATTTGTTATGTTTGCAGCTTGTAGGCATGACTGTAACAGAAGGAGTAACTACTAACAAGGAAATGTGAATTAGGCATGGCTGTTCTTACAGATTACTCGTTTCAACTATTTTGAAAATTCACTGGAAATACATTTGTAAGACTGTGCCTTATTCATAGGAAATACAAGAAGGGGGAAAAGGTGAAATCCAACATGTGGAACACATCATTCACTGTTACTTCCAAACTCCATGGCTGTCAGTGAAGTCTGTTTCCAACTTTAATGTAGCCCCATCTTTGTTCATTCCATAAAGGGACAGTGCGTAAGGAGAAAAACCCTAATTCAGAGCCCAGTGAATTGTTGGAAAGGTTCTCGGGAAGCTCTTCAGAGTGAGTTTGTGGTATTGCTATTGTTTTAGAATGAATATAATGATTTCCACAGGGGTTTTATGCATTCAAGCTGTCCACAGGATTTATATGTGTTTAAAATGTGTTTGCATAATTCTAGGAGGAAGTTTGCCTTTACACAACACTAACCAGTGAGTTCTGTACCCTACACAGACAGTTTCCTGTAAGTTTGGCTGTAGCTGTGCAGAGGATGCATATGGAGTTGAAACATTGAGTAAGTCTGAAAAGAGTTCTGTCTCCAATTCACAGTTTGACATATTCAGTTTTAAGATTATAGTCTTGTTCTATTATCTGCATTTCTTTGAAAAATAAAATAGGAATGTCTTGAGTGTTTTTATTCATCAGGAAATTACCACTCTTTTATTTTAACAAATACAATGAAGTTAATTCTTATTTTATAGTAGAACTTTTTTCCCCTCCATATCATGAGGGCTATGAGACTTCTAGAATCCAGTCTCAGCTGTTCAAGATGATACTCTGTTGAGCACACATCTTTGACCTGTCTGCTATCTTGAAATCATTGCCAAAATCTCCTGTAACTGATATGGAAACAGGCCAATACAGTGCTATTGTAATTGGCCCCTCGAAAATTGCTTCAGATGTCTCCCATACCTTCTCTAGGTTTCTATTTAGCAAAATTTTACTAAGAACCTGTAACTAAAAGTGCATTTCATAAGCACAGGGTTGCAGTCACATTTGCTCACATTGAACTTGTCCCAGTCTAGGCTTACTTTTCAAGCTGACTTTAAAATGTCACATGATTTATTCAGCAACATTTTCAATATATTTTTTGTCTGTTCTTATTGGCTTCACAGCTTTTAGGTGTGTGGGGTAAGAGGCTTTTACCCTTACAAAGATTGCCATGAAAGATTTTTTTCTTACTGTGATACTGTATTTTCCCATCAGATTACTTGAATGAGCCTGGAGCACCATTTGCATCTACCATTGGAAGCCACAATGTCACATTAGGGTGGAAACCAGCTAACATTTCTGAGGTGAAATATATTATCCAGTGGAAGTTCAGTCAGCTCCCTGGAGACTGGAGGTACACAGAGGTAGAGGACACTTCCTTTTACTTTACAAGGAAATAGATTCTTCTTTGCTCTTCATTTTATTTTAGAAAATATTGGATAATGCTGGGCACACAACAGAGATTTGCAAAATCATGAGTAGCATGGAGAAGCTGCAAAGTGGACAATTATTCCATTTCCTCCATCATAAGAACTAGGGACCTTGGCGAAAACTAGCAGGTAGCAGGTTCAAAACTAGCAAATGAAGGTATTTCCTCTCAGAATATGTAGTTACAATTTTCAGATGCTTCTTGGCCCCTGTGGATGTTAAATTATTAAATTATTAAATTGAAACTCCTAAATATTAAAGTTGCTCAAATTATTAAATAAAGTCTGAAAAGTGACTGGTCAAGTTCATGGAAAAAAAAAAAAAGTTCTACTAAATGCAAACATTACCATTACTTCATGTTGAGCTGTGCTTACGAAATACCAAGACTGAAAATATTTGTGAGAGACATCACTGTAGGCTTTCGTTTTTTATATATACCTTTCCCCAGAGAAATTTTTTCAGTTCTTGTCAAAGACACAATAGTTGGCCAGGTAGACGTTTGTTCTGACTCAGTATGGTTATTCTCATGTTCCTTTGCGTCAACTATATACTTGTTATCTTGCCATCGTTTCTATTGGACCAAATTACAGAGCATGGCAAGCTAGTGCCCAAATCAAAGGTAAAGATAATTTGCTAAGCAGGAAGTTCTGAATTAATCATTGCTGAAATAATGGGGAACAATGACTTCAGATCGTAAATACTTTAGGGTAGCTAGGAGCCTTTGGATCTTAAACCAGTAGTGTATATATCAACAACTTCAAATACATTACCAACAATATGCTATTATTTTGGTGGGTTTTTTTACCTTATTCTTAAAATTTATTATTATATGGCATCCATCAGCTCATTGTTTAGATTTGGTGGTGTGATCTGAAGAAAAGAGAAGAAGAAAAAGTTCTGAAAGGACAAAAAATCAAAGTTATGCTGAAAATAAATCCCATAATTTCCTCTTATTTAAATTTAGGATGCTGCACTTTTGTATTTTAAAGTATGTATGTTGTTGCATGAGACCTCTTTTGCCCTGATAACACTGTATATGGTAGCTGCAGAAGGAGAAAAAGAATAAGAATGATCGTGTGTGTGCATTAACCTAGGTAGTATCTGAAGCTTCATACACAGTTAAAGATCTTCAAGCCTTCACAGAATATGTGTTTCGAGTAGTTTGGATCATTACATCCCAGCTGCAGCTCCATTCTCCATCTAGTCCCAGTTACCGGACACATGCTTTTGGAGGTAATGAATTGTATCATTAATTATTAATTATTAGTCTTTTGGGACCGTATCAGCAACATTTGGTTTCCTTGTTTCATTCACACAAAACACTGATGTTTAATCTCCAGAATGATGTGTGTGGTATCTGTTGGGTACCTGCAAAAAGCCTAAAATACTGCAGCCTCTTTTTGTTTGAACTAGATTATTTAGGGCTGCTTATTGTTTATATTTTATAAATGTACACAGAAAAGTACAAGATTAGAATAGTGAAGGCACACTGAATATTTTTGTGTATAATTATGCATATTAACTTTTTGACTGAAATATGCACACATTTTCCTGTGTTTAACCAAAAAAGTTAAACGTTGCTGAACTTTTATGCTGTCCCTAATTGTATTTATTAGTATAAATGAATTGACAGGTATGAAACCTAAAAATGTACCTAAAAAAGAAAAAAAATGAATGTTTTAAGTGCCATCCCAGAGTCAGTTATTTTTGTCTCTTGCAGCTCCTACAACAGCTCCTATCATTAAAAACATTCAGAGTTCAAGTCCAAACACAGTTGAAGTTAGCTGGTCTCCACCACTTTTTCCAAATGGATTGATTGTTGGATATAATTTGCTCCTGACCAGTGAGAAACACAAACTGTTGAGAGCCTCAAGAGGGCATAGCTTCCAGTTCTACTCCACCTTCCCAAACAACACTTACAGGTACAAAAAGAAAACATAACCAGCATGGTCAATTGCGCTGTAGCGCTTCTTGCCCAGGTAGTACATGGTAAGCCTAAACACCACTTCTCCAGTTATGCTGCTTACTTATGTTCTTGCCGAAAGCAAAAGTACCTTCTTTGAGATAACAGAGTTATTCAAGATAAGTTGGCTGCATATGTGGAAGTTGGGTTGGGAGCAATCTGATATAGGACCAACAGGCTGCATTTTCTTAACTGCTGTTTTCCAGGGTTTTTGTTAAGCTTTTATGGTATGTTTCCAGTGTATTCAGGGAATGTTAGAGCAGTCCTCTCTAGTCCTTCATTTTTATTAAACATGAAGGCCTGCATTCTGCTTGCATTGATAAATACAGATCTTTCTTTGAAATTAACTGAGTTGGTCTCCTAAGTCTGAAACCCCATTTTGAATTTTAATTTAGAAGATTCTGTTGTTGCCCCACCTTTGAGGAATTCAGATTCTGGTTGGTTTTATTTTCATTTGAAATTTCCCAAAACATTATATTTAAATGGGCATTTTCTGAATGTTAAGCAGTCCTGTAGCAGCTGTCCTACCTGGTAAAATGTTTCTTGTGCAATCTTTGAGATCAAACCTGCAAACCAAAACCTGTCTCTTTGGTTTATGGTAGGTTCAGTATTGTGGCAGTCAATGAGGTTGGTGCTGGACCCCCTGCTGAAGCCAACATCACAACTCCAGAATCCAGAGGTACAAAAGCAGCAGAGTCCTTATCACTGTCTGTTCCTGGGGACAAAGTCACTTTTGCTGGGCTGCTGTGTAACTAGTAAAAGAGAATAATATTTAGACTGTAAACACCGTATGAAAAGGAGTTGCACACTGAAGAGTCAATAGCATATCAGAGAGAGTCCTGCTCTTTAGCTGTAGATATTATTAGGCTACACAGTATGGTAATAATGAGATGCTGATAAGCCCAAACAGGTTTGGCCTGAGTTGTATTACAGATGAAAAACACCTCAGTGGTCTGAAGCAGCGACTGAGAGGACTTGCTTCCCTTTTCTACATGAGATTTTAGCAGCTGACAAGCAAATATATTTATACTAATAATACGAAATGCTTACGATGAAACTCTTTTCTCAAAACATTTTCAGTTATCTCATGCCAAATATGGGAAACCATATCAATTGTTGTTGCTTTTTCATGGCTGTATTTATTTTACTGTATTAACTAATTAATAATAATTAACTAATTGATAATACACTAAAGGTATCACTAAAATAATTGCAGAAATTTCATTAATTGCTAGAGAAAGGTGCATACTGAGGTACAGCACATGTGAGAATGAAATCAATGTTACTAAAATGTCTCTTTAGAAAACAAAACAAAAGACACTCCCCTTCCTGAAGAAATGCAGTTGTCAAACACCTGGAAACTCTTCAACCCTAGCAAACACTTTAAGTCTGTTTCTGAATCACCGGTGTTCTGCTATTGGTTAGAGAAACTGAACTTATAGTTTCTCTAGTGCTTTTGAAAATATGACATCTTTCCTTTGGTAGTAGCTCAGACACACTGAGATGTCCTTACCTGGAGACTTTCAGAGGTTTGCTGTAGGGTTGGCTGACCCTGACCCACAAAAATCTGTGTCATTTGTGAAATGTCCAGACTGGTGCAGCAAACTGTTCATCAAGCCAATTACCATTCAATTAACTTAAGGTAGAAGACAGCCAACCAACCCTACCCACCAGAAAAACATCCTGAGGGTGGGAAACTATCCTACCTCTCCTTACTAGTCACCACAGTTGATTCACCCTGAAATTGCACTGGCACATGCTTTCTTTCTGCTAATGCGAAGAGGAACAACCCTTCCTCATGTACCATGGTTCAGAAAGCTGCGTCAGGTAAAGCTGTGTAGACCTGAGCCCTGAGAAGAGCCAGGGAAAGAATCTGATCTCTGGGCCAGACTGCAAAAAAATGTCATTGGAAAAGACGTAAGGGAGTGGTGTTGGCTTTTTGTGATCTGCTATGGTGACATCATTGCTGAAATGACTTGCAGTCTGTGCATCATGTGAAAAATACATGCAGCCCAATCTATGTGGATTATCCAGGAATAAATTGGAACAGCATTCAATGACAGTCTCGTGATACCCATACGAGGAAATTGTAACTGATAACAGACAGCTGTTTAAACTGGGGGGGGGGAACCCTACATGTTCCTGGAAAAAAGATTACTGGTCAGCATAATGAAATACATGCAATAAACATATTCTTCCCCAGCTCTGTGGGATAATATTCTAATTTGACTAGGCTTTTCAAAGAAGCCCAAGGGGGATTAAGTATCCCAGTTCTGCTGGTTCTGAGTGTCACCTGGAGTCTTAGGGCCTTCGGTTCCCCAGCAGTCCACAGGGCTTCATTTGTTCCAGCTTACTTTGCCTCACTAGGGAGGGACTCACTACTGTTACAAGAAAGGATGGTGTGAAATTCCTGTGTTGCATTCTCAGCCTGGGTGAGGAGCCAGAAGGCACGGTAATGGTGAATAACTGCCCACTTTCAATACTTGAAGAGTTTAAATTTTAGCGTGTCATTGCTAGTGTAAGAATAGATTTATATATGTACACATATGTGTGCATGTGTGTATGCATGTCTATAAATGATGTATCTGAGTTAGGAACATTCTTCTTTCTGCTGCAGTCATCAATCTTAATTCTGAATTTCTCTCTCTGCTAGCTAAGGAAAAATCAACATGGCTTTTCTTATCCAGAAACCAGTCTTTAAGGAAGAGATATACAGAACATTTTCTTGAAGCCACCCAGTGTCTGCAAAATGGTATAAACCACAACATTACAGGTAAAATCAGACTGGGCTCTCTCCTTTTCTCTCAAGTTTGGCTTAGACCTCATACTAACCAAGAACAGAATGCACCTCAACTTGCCTGAGACACTATCTAGCCTCCATTTATAGTCAGTAGGGAGAAGTAGGAACTTTCAGGACATAGTTTGACCTATTTGAACTGACAGGCACTGGGAAGAGAATAATTGATCTCCCCAGTGCAACTTTTTTTTTTCACTGAATCTAGGCAGCTACTTCAGAGCTGGATTTTCACATTGTAGGTATCTAAACTGAGGTGAAATGAAGCCAAAGCAGATGTTTCCCTGTGATTAATGACTGTACTTTACATGAATATGGGGAAGTGTGTCAAAAATATTAAATAATACAAAGTGTCATATAGTGTGTTAGCTAGTCTGGGGCACAGAGCTCTGTAACAAAGCACTTAGTCACATAAGTCACCAGCCAGCCATGTTATTTCAAATTACTCACCACTCTAATGTTTCTTATCTACACCGGTGCTGTACTTGGTCCTTGGAGCCAGTGTGGAAATCTAAGTTTATCTACTGAAGGTCACAGAGCCTCAAAGATACTTGAGAACAAATGTTGCCCCTGACTATATATCCTTTGATAGTTCAGTGGTGGCGGTGGCACAGATAATGAATTCTAGGGCGAAAGGTGATTTGTGAGGAGATGCCAATTGCATCTGTTTGCCCGGGAGAGGGGCAATCAGTGTCACTTGGTTTGCAAGTGACATATCCTCTTTTTTGGCTGATTACCTTTCTGAAGATCAGTTGTCTGTAATAATGTCACTTACACAGCAAGTGGGAAAGTTTCCTTGTTAACTGAAGGAAGACTAGAAGTGGAGGAGAAAAAACAGCTAACTTTTCTCCAATGACGTTGGGCTGCAGATTGAAAAATACTTCTTTTTAAGGCAAGTAGAAAAAGTAACTGGAAAACTTAACCTTATTTCTTAGATTATCTGTGTGCACATATCTCTCTGTTTTTAGGAATTTCTGTGAATGTTTATCAGCAACTTGTCTATTTTTCTGAGGGGAATTCCATCTGGGTGAAAGGAGCTGCAAATATGTCTGATATATCCGACCTAATGCTCTTCTATGCTGGCTGGGGGAATATTACGTCCATCTCGGTAGACTGGCTTTACCAGAGGATATACTTTGTCATGAATGAAAAGGTAGTGCTCTAGGGCTTAATTAATTTCTTACTTAATTTGAACCATTACTGTGATTTAGTTTACATTAGAAAATCTGATTTATATATGGATATACATGCACAAAATATAATTACAGAAATAGATTCTTTGCTTTAATAATATTCACACACTTCAGAGTTTTGAAAAAGGAGAAAAGCTTGAGTATCAGGTAATATTTAAAGCAAAGAGGCTATATGGAACTCTGTGTCCTTGGTTGTTGTTTTGTTTTGTTTTGTTTTGTTTTCTTTTGTTTTTTCTCCTTAGGATGTGAAACAGTTTGGTTTTAGCTGCTTTAATTTTGAGACTGATTTCACACCCTCCTCATACCAAATATAAGTGACTTTGTTTCTGTTACTTGTTTCTCCATCTAGCCTGTTCAGTTACCATTCTGCTTCAGGAAGGTGGTCAGGTAACTAGTTGGTTATTATAGTGCCCTTTATAATTGGCAAAAGATGCTCAAGAGAGAAGGTGTTTCGTTCTTGTGATGACAGCTTAGATTACAACTGTTTCAACTTGACATCAAAATGAAGATGGCAACCCTGCACTTGATTCCCTACTCATAAAAGATCAATTATACAAACAATCAGGCTTTGCATGCACCTTTGTGTCCTGGGTTCAGCTGAACCCAGGACACTTTGTAGTCCTCCAGTGCACAAAGGACTAGAAAATTGCCCTAAATTGTTAGTGGGGGATTTTTTCTTTTCCAATCCTCTTGCCATGTCTGAGTTTTCAGTTATTGCTCAGAGAACAGGAAGTAGGAAAAGCAGCAGTGATAAAAAGATAAAAATGAGCTGCAGATGAAGAGGCTGATGGCAGGGATTTCTGAATCCACTACAGGTTAAAGAATTCCCAGGGTACTGTGCACAGGATAAGAAAAGCACTTCCTTCTCTCTTTTCCCTTCCCTGACAGATCATTTCAAAGTACAGTTTGCCTATACCCCTCCAAATTGCATTTTTCCCTCCAGCTTAGACGTAGGAAGTTGAGAGAAGGGTAGCTGACAGCTCTTTCAGGGTAAGCTGTCATGGATGCATTTGTACTTGTGTAGAAGTGTTATGCTTGTGTGACTGACAACTCAGGAGCCCAGAAGGACCTAGAACTGTGAGAGAGGTGTTTCATTGTCTGGTTGGGGATCTGTGAAGGGATCTCAGGTCAGTTTGTTTGCTCATTAGCAAACACCCTATGAATGCTTCACTAGCTTTGATTCTCGTTCCCCAGATACATGTCTGCCATTTAGAGAATTGCACGGCAGCTGAAGACATCACTCCTCTGTATGTGACATCCCCTAGGAAGGTTATAGCTGACCCCTATAATGGGTAAGTGTCCTCCTTTGAGCACGTGGTGTCAAAGGTGCTATAAAACTCTCTAATTTTCTTCACTTCACTAGTCATCTGGGTTCCTGGTTTTGACTTTTGCCTTAACAAAACAGTGCAATTGGCAACAAACAACAAACTGAGAAACAATTGGAAAATGAATGACAACATGCAACATTGTTTTCTTCATATTCTTCCCTATGGTGTTAGCAGAGGAGATAAAGTATTTCCAAAGCAGAAATTAGGTTTTCAGACGTTCAGGGCTTTTACGACTATGAAGATTTATGCATTTTAAATGTCCATGTTTAACACTTGAGGTATTATGGAAGAATATTCTCCAATAATCTGTCAGCCAAATCCCCAGAAGGTAAAATGAGATGTGCTTAATTCTCCCAGGATGTATATTAATAGTACCAAAACCATTTTCCTATTGTCTGCATAAAGACAGGCACATCTCTGAGCTGTTAAAATATTTGTGACTCATCTACAGGGTTCTTGCACTGTAGTTATTTGGGTCTATTTTGCTCTATGGCCAGCTATATTTTCTGTCTCCTGGAGGATGGCATATACAGAGCAAACCTTCAACTCTTTCCTGGCACTGCCTCCACAGCTTCACCAGTAGTGAAATACAGTGCTCTGAGAGACTTCGTGATCAACTTCCAATCTAAGAGACTTATTTTCTTCAACAAAACAGAACAGGCCTTTGTGTCAGGTTTTCTTGATGGTTCAGAATTTCACACGCTGCGATCACATGTGCCACTTCATGATGTGGAGAGCTTTGTTTATGAGGATAACACATTTACTGTCACAGATGGCTGGGCAGTTTTCCATGAAGAGGTCTCTCCACTGGGGAGTTCTAGCTTCAATGAGTACATTGTGGATTGCAATTTGGCATATCCAGAGTACTTTGGCTTTGGCAACTTGGTTTTCTATGGGGCATCAACTCAGCCTTTTCCATTACCAACTTCTCCTCGCCTTGTCACGGCACTATTTGGACTGCACCAAGCTGTGATCTGCTGGAAACCACCTGAACACACTATTGGAACCAGTAAGTTAGTTGTTTCTTCCTGAAAGTTCCCTGCTTTCCTTTTCAGAGGAATAACTTCCTGGCTTTTTTTTTCCTGATGCTGGGCTTTGGTGACTTCAATAGCTGATCCTGCTGGAAGATGTGGAATTACCTCAATATGAAATATTTAACCCCAAATTTGCCTGTAAAATAGCTAAATTGATTGGCTAAGTTAATACAAGTTTATATCAATAACTCATTTGTTATCTGCTAGATTAATTAAGCAAGACTCCATCTTTAGTATGGTATGGCGTAGCAGTAATGGTTGCTGACATCACACAGAAAATGCATGCCAGACAGGTAATGACTTCTGATCAGTGGCTGTGCTATGGTCTCTACCCTCTGTGCATGTGTCTTTAATCAGCAGAAAATGACCTGGTTGGGGAAAATGTTGGTTCTTCCAACTTCAGTCTTCATGGGGGATTGAGCCACAATTCTTGGTTTGTCCCAGAGCTAGAGGATGCAAATTTTCAGTTTAATTTCCTAATTACCCTGATGCTGGAACTTTTGAAATGAGCCTCCAATATACAGTTTTCTCAAATAACGTGTATGATCTGTTACAGCCATCTACTCTATAATAACATGATTGCTTGGATCTCACAGGTCTGTCTGCTTGGCAGAACTGGACCTATGATGTGAAAGTGTCATCTCAGCATCCATCTGAGAAGGAATGGGTTTTCTCAAACGTTAGAGACACCAGGTTTACAGTGAAGGAGCTGGCCAGCTTCACAGCATATGAAGTGTCAGTCAGAGCTGTATCTCCTGCTGGTAAAGGGCCATGGTCAGAGACTTTTAGAGGCACAACTTTAGAAGAAGGTGAGAATTGCTTTGCCAGCTAGGAGAAATATAGCTTTCCACTTGGTGAGGCCCCAACTTTGGGCAAAGACTGCAAAATGAAGGGCACAAAAAGAATTGTCATAGAAACATCAAAGAACACAGGATAAGTAAATTCTCTTTTAGTTAAAGTAGTAAGACTCTCAAACTATGTTAATGTTATTATATATTATGTATTTCTTATTACTACTTATTTACCTTTTTCTAATGCAAATATTCTATCAAACACATTATGTTGTACACTATCAAATGAGCAGGTATTAGAGGTGTTATTCCTTTCCTGTGCTCTGTAAAGCATTTTCTATGATGAAGTGGTTTGAGCAGTGCCATGAGGTTTAATAACAGTTTAAGGAAAAGTACAGGCTTACTAAAGGCTAAAAATCCTTGATTTGCACATAGATAACAGGGGAAATGGATGTGTGCACAATGTCTGAGATTTGTAGGTCTTTGGAATGTTTTTTGAAACCTAGTTTTCCCATAATAACCTCTGTCTGAGGGGAAAATAGATTTCAGTTTAAGGCACTGGTCTGGCACTTTAGATAGGTTGGATATAAGGATGAAATTCTTTCCTGTTAGGGTGGTGAGGCATGGGAATGGGTTGCCCAGGGAGGTTGTGAATGCTCCATCCCTGTCAATGTTCAAGGCCAGGTTGGACAAAGCCTTGCGTGGCATGCTTTAGTGTGAGGTGGGCAATGGGGTTGGAACTATATGATCTTGAGTTCCTTTTCAACCATAACTGTTCAATGATTCTACAATTCTATGATTCTATGATTAGGAGGGTGACTCTTGCCTGACTTCAGTAAGGCCAGGTCAAAACCCACAGTGGTTTTTTAACATCTAACAAGGTTCCAAATTGCTTTATTGTTCTGAACCTAAAATCTCCCTGAATCTCTGGTTTTCTCAAATTTAGATATTTTCATGCCTTTCTTCTTTATCCATTATTCCTTAGGGTAGGTACAGTTTTAGCTATGCTTCTGCAGCTTTCGAGAAACAGAAACATCTGCTATTGACATACAAATATTACGTAACCATTGCTTGTTGGTGTGCACAACTGCAGTTTTCTTTCTTTATCAGCTGAAGAAGAGCCATATATGTTGACAGTGGGGGCTGAAGGGCTCTGGAAGCAGCGGTTGGATAGCTATGGGCCAGGAGAACTCCTCTATCCTCATATAAGAAATATTTCAGGTAAATACTAAACAACCAGCATTCTGCTGCTAAAAACTTGTTGACATTTATTAGCTCTCCATACATTTCATCAGCAGGACTGAAAAACAGGAGCTTTCATTGCAGCACTCTAGACTTGAACGCAGTGCAATAAAGCAGCTTCACTGAGCCATCCTTTTTTCTACTTTATGGATCAAATTAATTCTTAATGAATGCCTACTGACATCACCACAGTTACAGTAGAGCTAAAATCAACTCTTTGAACTAAACATTTCCACCTCCAGCATTCTAATATATGTCATAAATTTATAATCATCAGGGCTACATATGTACTATGTATGTTTATATAATAAACATTCTATTCCTATAATTCCATAATACATTGTATTCCTATAAGGAAGTATCTATCTGCATGTTAAGTGAGTCTAACTGTTCGTTTGTATTTATTTAAAAAAAAAAATGAAGCGCCTGGCTACTTTTTTTTTTTTTTATAATATGAGTTTTTATTTATGTGTTTGTGAAATGCTTAATATCTTCCCTTTCTTCTTCAAGACCTCGACTGGTATAATGACACTCTTTATTGGATTAATTCCATGGGGGAAGTTCAGACCTGGTCACTGAACAAAAGGGAGGCTACCACTAGGAATACTTACGTATCTGACATCAGAAATGCCAGGATACTGGCCTTTGATTGGTTAGGTCAATGCTTGTACTGGGCTGGCAAAGCAAATACGGTAGGTATAATTGCACTTCAGAAAAGGGAAAAAAATATAATGTCAACAAGAAAGACTGTAAATCAGTATTTGGGAAGATAATACCTACTTCTTACAACTTGAGATGCATTTGGACCTTTTGCTATTGTAATGTAGAGAACAAGGAGATCTTTCTTCCCTTGAGTGAATTTCCCAGACTTGCACAAAAGTTTGGGGTAAAATGTTCGCTAATATTTACTAAAGCGGGATACTGAATTCCAGGTGTAAAACAGGCAAATCAAACATGCTATTAACAGCTTTGTTGGGTTCAGCATTGTAAAAATATGTGAAGATGGTGAAGATGGAGGCTGCCAAGTTGATCTGAGCTAAGAAGTAGATGGACTTTATTTTAATCAAATTTGACACAATTTGTTTACACAGAGATTTTCAAGATTGACCTCTGTACTGTAATATTTTGCAGATCGCTGCAGATAAAAAAAATAATTACAATTGCACTTTGTACACTTTCATATCAGGAACACTGACGTGAATTATTTAAAAGGTATCTGACTTCAAAATTGCAGTGCTAATTTATGCAGTGCTGTCAAATTATGCCTTTCATTTCTTGTAAGTGCAAAGTCAGAAGCTGTTTTAAAAACTGGAGCAAGGAGGCCAGATTTCACCCTGCCTTGCACCCTCATTTACACTTGTGAATAGTGAATATAAAGTGGGTGAGAAACTCTTGTCAGACAGAAGGCTGCCAAAACTGGGAAAGCCAAGAGGAAGAGATATTTCAGCTGTTTCTTTTGTTACTTTCTGGCAAACATTAACTAATAATTTTGCCTTATTCTTCATACTTATACTCTGAATGCAAAAGGTTTAGGCTTTTAAAGGCTAAGGCTTGCATAAGCTTCTGATAAACCGCTGTGGAAAAGTCATGTATGTATACTCAGTTGATCATGACTGATAATTTAGGTGTGATGTTAAAAGCAATTTGTTTCTCCCTAGATCTACAGAAAATCACTGCTCAGAGACCATATGGATATTGTGGCTCATGTTGTGTTTCTAGTGAAGGATCTAGCAGTGGATTCAGTAAATGGCTATCTGTACTGGGCCACATCGTATTCAGTGGAGAGCGCAAGACTGAATGGAGAGGAGTATCTTGTGTTACAAGAGCAGCCACAGTTTTCTGGTAAACAGGTGACTAATTTTTTTTTTTTTATTTATTTTTTTGGGGGGGTGCAGGGGGGGTACAGGACAGGGGTGTGTTTTAGTGGTTTGATCTCTTGAATATCGCCCGTGTTCACCTTGTCAAAATCAGTGTGCTATGACCCGAAGAAGAATATGCCTTTCTTGCAATAGTGTTATATCATTTTGAGAACAGTGTGAGAATTAAATCATGTAATAGCTGTACTAAAAATTTCTAAATTCTAAAGTCAGACCCTTGCAACAGAACGTGACATTAAATATGTCCTTATTGTTGTAAGGTTGCTCCTTCCCATATGTGAAAAGTACTTTCTCTTCCCAAATGACTTAAGTCTAATGGTCAGTTCTGGCTTTTCCATCTGAATATGGAGCCAGAGTTCCATAGCATCCTGCCTCCTTTCATAAGTTTCCCAGCTTGTAGGTCCTGGCAGGGTCAGTTTTGAGGCTAGACACATGCCAGGAACACTGGAGTTGCACTTCAGGCTGTAGAGGTGCTGCTGCAGAGGCAGACTTTGCCTGTGCAGACGAGAGAAGGGGGGCAGCAGCTTGTGCCATACTTGTGCTCAGTGCATCTGGCCCTGCCATAGTCTGTCACAACTTGTTAGCACTGGTGGGGATGTCAAATCTGCCAATGACAGTCCCTATTCTGCCTGATCCTGTCCACCGTGCAGTGGCAACAGCAGTGCTTTGGGGTTTTTGAGACTCTCCATCCCCAACTCACTCTTAACCTTTTCTTCCCCATCTTCTCTACTTCTCTTGCCCAAGTTAGAAACAGGCCTGGCCCCAGCTTGGGCTGTTTTTCTTTGCTCTGTGCTGCTGGGGAGTTCCAGGAGGCTGAGAAGAGTCTGGTGTAAAGCAGAACAGCTCCTCAGGGAGAAGGGAAGGGGGCTTCTTGCAGAAGCAAGTAAAGAGTGGGAATGGTATAGGGGGAGCAAAGCTATGGGAGGTGGTTGTTTTAGCTGTATTAAGGTAGATAATGGGTCCCATGCAGAGATAAGCTGTAGAGGAGAAATAGAGATGCCATGCCTAGCTATAGCTCACCAAAGCCAAAGCAATATGTGGAAGCCCATTAACTCTTCCCTACTTGGAGAGTTTTTGATGTGCTCTGAGGTCCTCACAGATAGGCTCTGAGTCTCTGCTGACCTCTCCCATGACTTTATTCTGCATTCCCTCCTCTCTGATGTCCTATGAAGCTCTTAAGGCCTTGGTTTACTGCTGGGTCTTCATGGATCATTGTTGCCTTCCCCAGTCCTGTCCTGCCTTGGCCACTACATGGAATTTGCCATGCTAAGGATTTGTGCTCATTCTTGCTAGGTGAGACTCAGTGTGACCTGTGCAGTGAAGGAACTTGAGACTGGATATTCGCTTCATGAAAAGAATTGCCAGGGTCTCAGCAGCCACATATGTGTCCTTCCTTTCTTTCCTTTCCCTTTTTTCCTGTCCTTCCTTTTCTTCCTTTCCTTCTCTTCCTTCCCTACTTGCCTCCCTCCTCTCTCACTCTCCTCCTTGTGTACCTGGGAGAAAAATGATGGATGACCCAATTCCCTGGCAAGAGAACTCCTTACTAACACAGCAGGGACTGAAGGACTCTGGGAGTCAGTGTGGTTGGGACTGCAGACCCAGTGAACCTTTGAACCTTTTCCAGGCTGTGCTCTGAACAGGTCATGCTGAGGGACCGTGACATCTATTGCACTGCTTTAACTTCTTGGAGTCTCTCTCAAAGAAGAGCTGAATGCTCCTCAGCTCAAACCACAGTCTGTGTGGGGTTTTGCCCTCTCTTCCATTCATTGGAGCAAGGCATAGGTTGACTGCCACAGAAAAGTTCAACTCAGATATATTATCTGTTGCACCAGATTTCTTTAAAACACAGCTCTTGATAAAGAAGCCTTTGTTTTTATTCAATCTGTTGTACAATTTATGCTTCCATCTTACCTGAAGCCTGGCTCTTTAAAGTTTAAAAATGGCTTTTACTAAAGTTCTGTTTCTTGTCTACCTTTGCATCGTTCCCAAGAATATTTCAATCTCCTTTTCCAAAGGAAAAGAGGCTGATGTTTCTCTGATTATAAAAAGAGCCAAGCCTGCTTTAGTCTCTGGAGGGCAGTTAACATTTGGAAAGGTCAGCTTGTATTACAGGTCTCTGTTACATTCATGAGGGTTTGGGAAGGAGAGGGAAAGCTGGTTCTGGTGTAGCACCAGCTATACTTGCAGACCTAAATGCAAAAGAACTGAAGAACATTTGTCACATGTAGAGAGAAAAGTATGTGCTGCAAAGGGTCACTGTATCTTCCAGTACAAGCCTCACGTCTTTCTTCAGGAGCTGGCTGGTGTGGATTGTCTTCATGGGAAGATAGATGCTGTCCAAGCTCAACGGCACATTTACACTTATCATGTATCTTCTGGGTGATCTGTTGCAAAGGAATGACAATTTGAGGTTTATTCTAAGCAGCAAATGTCACCTTCCTTGCCCTTCTCTTTTGATTCTCTACTTGTTTCTCTGAATCGCCTCATGCTAACCTCAGATTTCTTGTTCTTATTCCCAAGAACCTTGGCAGCAATAAAACTGCTTGTCTGCTCCTGTCATTTTCTTTTTTTTTTCTGCACCTTTCTCTATGTCAGTGATACCAGCCTTCAACCATCCACTTATTCACACCTCCTACAAGCAAACATCTCCTGCTTCTCTGATGCCCCTAATCTATGCACTGACTTCCTGAACTCAGCCTCCTGCTGTGAAGCATACAGGAAAAAAACCAAGTAAAAAAGTCTTGATTGAGAAGTGACCAGTTATAGCAGGCAGGTGTTTGTTTATTAAAATAAAATACAAAATAAACCCATAAGAAAAAAAGGGCAGTTTAACATTCTCTTATGGTAGAATTATCAAACTGGTCATTATTGTCCCATATAAAGATGCAAATATATGTTTGTACAAGTACTAACATGTATCTTCCTTGCTCAGTGGAGTCCTTTATCCCTAAAAGAGTACCTATTACTTCAATATTAAATCACAGATGTAATAGTTAATTGTTATTATCCAACACTTAGAACATGTTCTATACATAACTGGTTCTTACTGGTATTTTCTAGCTGTCTTTCTATTAAGGAATTGCTGTTCAGCTGGTCAGTACAGGATCTTCTGCAGTATATAGTTGTATCTCCTTTTAGCTTGAAATACGAGTGATAACAACCAAAAAGACTACTATAGGAGATAACAGGTTTACTAAAAAAATAAAATACATAAAGGCAGAGCTTTGAAAGTCTCATTTCTTTGTCAGGAACTAGATCCTTTTATGTCAACTATTTTATTTTCCAATCAGTATTTTAGCTTTGCTGGTGCATATTGGAATGGCTTGATTGCTTTTGGCAGAGCTACTCTGAATTTTTTCAGCTTCGGATGTGTCACAGGATTTCCAAAGCAGTTAGTAAGTCAGTTACACTATGCAATAAGAGTGGGACAAAAGTAATTTATAGGGGAGCAGCAAAGTGGGTTATTTGCAGGAGGGGCCATGGTCCTCTAGGTATTGTCTCTTAATACTTCTTGTCAAGGAGTATTTCAAGTAGTTAAATTTATGTTGCATCCTATGATATTAAGATACATTGCATGATCACAACTACATATCATGTCCAGAGGCTAATACTTCAGGAAATGGAAAATGTTTGTCAATTTTTTAAGCATTACAGAAGGGAGGTGTTAAATTGCTGTCTAACTCCTGAAAATGAATAGTACAAATATTTCTTTGCCTTTTATTAATGGTGATACAGGGATCAGGAGAAAATGTAATAGTTGCAGGAAAAAAAAAAGTGGAGCAAGGAAAGAAGACCTAAACTTTTAAAAAAGCAAGGTAGATTCAGGAAGATGTAATTTGGTGTTGGGAGGGAAAATAGGTAAATGGGATAAAAAATAACATGGTTGACTAAATATGCACACAGGCACATGCATACTGTGAGATATTTTTAACAGTAAAACCTACAGGAGCAATCATTTAAACCTTGATTTTCTGACATATAATGTCAACAGGAATATGCCGAGAATGTGATTACATAAGGACCAACAGACAACTAAGTGATATGGCATTTGCTTTCCTGTCATCATCTTCTGCAGTTCATTAATGAAGAGCTAAAAGAAAAAAAAAGGCTGCTCCACTTACATCCATAATGGAAATTTAAGCTTATAATAGAATAGCCACAACTAGTGCTTGAATAAGAGGTTTGAGACCTGCTGGAAACCATGTTCAAGGAAACCCCTAACAACTTGTAAGCTGTGCTAATGACATGACATAGACTGCACTTGCTAACATTTAGGACACTAATTGATGGAAGCAAATTCTTTGTTATTCACAGAACAGAGTATTAGATATTGATTCCTGTTATTGCTGCATATGGTAGTGAATCTGTTGTTTACTGCAAAAGCAAGAAAACCCTATTCTGGACATTAGATCCTGTTAAAAATAAACAGAAAGCCTTTGTACCATGCTACTCATGATGCCATCTAGACAACAGTTATGCCTAAGGGCTTTTGTCTCAAAACTGAAGATGTGTTCAAGTTGCCATTTGGCCTTTCTGTTTTCTTAGGTGGTTGGTTTAACTTTGGATCTCACCTATGATTTTCTTTACTGGCTTGTGCAAGATAGCCTATGCCTAAACCTATACAGAGTTTCTCTTTGCAAAGAAGGGTAAGTGAATGCATAGTGTGTGTTGGTATTTTCTAGGTTTTGTGATACTCTAAAAACAAATTTTGCCCAGTGCTGGGTACACTAGTTACTAATTTAACAATTTAATTTAACAGCTAACTGATGGCAAACTACACGTTGCGATGGTTATTGACACAGTTTTACAGTGAAAGAAGCATAGTATGGAAACTCAACTGAACTGAGGTCATGCTCATGAATTTTTAGACTTAGCTTTAGGAAATAATCACCATTTACTGTCTATTTTGTCTTAGCATTACAACTCCTGACAGTTTTCAAGTGCCTAGAGCTGCAACTTGTTCATCTTGCAAAGAGCTTAGGACTTGAATTGACACCACTTTCTCACCTGAGCAATCAGCGCTCAGCAGGCTTTCCTTTTGATCACCCTGAGCATGAAATGGCTGCTTTATTCCTGAAAGACAAAGTTTAAAAAACAAAACAGAGCCAAACAATGTTTATGGGTCAGCTTGAATATATATTAAAACCTTGAGGAAAATAGTGAATTTGTTCTCTAAGTGCCAAGTGCATGATGATCTCATGAAACTGTATTTTTATTCCTTTTCATTTGGAGTTGTTTTTTTTTTTTTTTAAGCATCAGATTAAACTCCTTAAACTTAATTGAACAGCATCTGTATTTATTTGTGCTCATAATGTTGCAGGCTGGCTTTGTGCGAAATCAGATGAATTTTGTGACTGATTTTAGACTTGCTATGATTAATGGTAAACATTTAAAGAATCAAAATATGTTGATTAGTCTTAGCCAGAACATGCAGCTCCATTGTGAACCAATTGGCAGCCATAAATCATTGTCCCTGGCAAGCCAGAATAGAGACACTAGAAGTAATCCATCCTAATTGACCCGATTGTGTGTAAAAGCTTTTCTGAATTTGTTTGGATAGCATGTGTCTAAGCTGAAACATGTTTCTGAGATGGCAAAATAATGCCTCTTACAATGTATTTAGTTGCTCAGCAAGAGAATAAACTGGGACAAAGAAGAGGTCTGTAAATTTTGATGTAGAAGTAACAAGACAGAATAAATCACCACTGATCACCACAATGGAGGAAAATGTTAAGAATTTAATAAATAGTGGAATTTCACTGAGGAAACTAGCAAGGTCAAATTAATCTGGGGACCTGCTTTAATGAAGTAAAATGAACCTCATGCTGTGAAGTAGACTGCACTGTTTCAGAGAAATTACTGAGAGAAGGTGGGTTGATTTTTCAAAATACTCAAATTTTACAACCATGCGTCAGAATACTAAGCCATTTCATAACTGCTTTCTAACGAAATCAACGGATGAAGGCTTTTTGCAGGTGTTCCTGCCATGTGCCATTCTGAAAAGTGTTCTTTAGAGAACTTAAAGAAAACTTTTTGAATTGTTTTTCTGCCTCCTACGTGACAAGAATTTTAATGATGAGAAATGTACTGATGTGTCAAACATTGCATAAATCTTGTTCTCTCTACATGTGTGTTTTCAGTTTGCTAGTTTCATACATGTTTTCACAGTTGTGGTAATGCCATCATCACAGAATTTGCAGCATGGAGTACTTCAGACATATCTCAGGGTGCACTGGAATACTACAGTGGTCGTCTGTTCTGGATTAATACTCTTCATTTCATTACAACTCAGGAAGTCAATCAGAGCCTTAGCATTCCCTTCTCACAACCAGCAGAGTTTGCTGACTTTACCCTTGTTCACACGTCACTTAAACCCTTGCCAGGTATGTTATTTTCTTTATCTAAACCCCTCAATAAAAATATTCACTGTCAGCCCGTGATTCTTCATTCTTGAAATTCTTCAGTAATTTGACAAAAGGTAAGAACAACAGCAACTTATTAATAAATATATCAGGCTATACTTGGATAATGTGCAATTATAAAAGTTCATGGGTATGGCTAAAAAGAATACATGGTGTTGTTATTCATGGTTTCTATCTAATGAATGATAGCTTACAGGATTTTCCATGGTACCTTAAAGCTTTAAGTCTGGTTTGAAAAGTTTACCTATTGCTCACATTATTTAGATTATTATTATATCTTCCTCTCTTCATGGACAGGAAGTTTTTCTTTTACACCAAAAGTGATTCCAGATTCAGTGCCAGAGTCTTCATTCATGATTAAAGGAAATTCTTCAAGTTTCCACATAATTTGGAGTCCCACAAATGTAGAATGGGGAACTGTCTTTTACTGCGTGGGATCAAAAGCTCTACAAGTAAGGCTATTCATACTATGCATTATTAATAATGAGGGATTCCGCCTTATTTTCTACACGTATTACTGCATCTACTTGCTGATGTATCTATTTTTAAACAGAAATAATTTGTTTCCTCTCCAACATTTGCAAATTGGTCAAACAACCAAACTAAACTGCAAGTATAAAGCAAGCTGTCCTGTTTCTCTGTCACTAAGGCCAGAACAGGAGAAACACTGGCTTATCAGCAGCTCTGGGCAAGCTACTGGGGTGTGAAATGCCAGGCAAGGAGCTCCCAGTGCTCAAAGATGTGCGAGAAAGCCTTTCACAGTAACTCAGTGACAGAAGCGTCCTCAGAGCTGCCGGTGAGACAGCCTTTGCTGAATGTGAAATCTAGCCTTCATCCACACTTAATTTTAGCACATTTGGCAAGCTTTACTTTAAATTCAAAGGGCAGATTACTAGCAGATTGCTATGCATTGCTACAGTGCCACAGGAGTTGGTGAAACAACAGTCACTCACAGGAAGAGAAGCTCTATCTTGATTTAGTTGGCCAGCGTGGTGAGGGGAATTTTAGAAAACTTAAAGTTTTTCTGAGATGGGAAAAAAAAATTATTTGTTTTATTTTATGCTGCTTCATTTCATTCACAGTCTTTGGAGAATGAATGGTGCCTCCATCCCCATAACCTGACAGCGCCATCCTACCGAGTTGATTGGCTGGAACCATTTACACTCTTTGACTTTACCGTCACTCCATACACACACTGGGGCAAGGCATCAGCAACATCTGTATCCCTTCGAGCCCCTGAAGGAGGTACTAGAATTTTAAATCCCATTCCTCATTTGTTACGGGTACTGGGACCAGGTCTATGTCAGCAAATGGAAACTGGAGAGGAATGAACAGCTTTCAGGACTAGTCAGCTGCAGGCAAAGTTGCAAGGACATGTTCCTGAGTATCTTTGGTAATTATCTATTACACACATAAATGCACACAATTGCTGTAACAGAATTTGGAACAGAAAGCACATGACAATATATCTACCACGTGCCTATGACTATGAGCAAGAAAGAGAAATTAAGGTCCATTACAACGGCCATCAAAGGCTGCAAGTGCCTATTAAATTTTTAATAAATGTTATGCACTTTTAACTTCAGTAAATGAATAAAAAGTTCTCATGCAGGTCAAAGTTAAGTCAGCTAAAATGTAGTGTTGAGTGACTGGAGCACTGAGAAAGCTTATGAGCTGCAGTAGATTTTAAAGTCGATAGGGGGGATAGGGTATATGCTGTGAAAATTCTTGCAGCTCCATTGTTACTTACAGGACTTGGATAAACAGACATCTCCAATCTGAGTGCAGGAGTCCATTCGTCTCTGTTTATGCAGCTCTTTTTTTTTGCTAAGCAAGTTAAAGTCAGATGTCTACACACCAATGAAATCAGAAAGGAATTACCACGAAGTTTTAGATATTCTTCTATAATGTACACTTCAGTGATTGCTATCTTTCTCGGTCAGTTTTAAGGTTGCAAAGCTCAGGCTCAGAACTAAAAGAGCTCATTACAAGGTAGAGTTTGTGTTTTAATAGGAGTACTTTGCTCTATGTATTTTATCTTATTATTATTTTTTTTCTTTTTATTGTTGTATAGTTCCTTCAGCCCCTATAAACCCTAGGATATATGTGCTACAAAATAACCTACATGAAAGTGGTGACACAGTCCCTGTGGAGTTCAGGTGGGACAGACCTGAAAAGGAAAATGGAGTATTATTGCAGTTCAGGGTTTACTATCAACTCCTGAGTCAGAGTGACACTGCTAACACTTTCACAGAGTGGAACGTGGGCAACGTTAAGCCCACCCTGATGCTCTTTTCCCTTATGGATGTGCTTCCTGGCCTTACAGTAAGGTTTCAGGTATGAAGAATTACTCAGCTTACCTCATGCTAGATGGTAGATGTTATCAGTGCAGCCTGATGTGTTTGCCTAAGAGATGTCACTGGGCTTGGGGCAAGAACTTGTGGTTTCTGCTTGTGGAACTGCTGATTCACTGACTCACCCTTGGATACCCAGCTTAACCTTTCTCAGTATTGTATTATTCACTAAATAAGGTGGAAACCAATGCTCCAGCATTGTATAGGTTTGGTGAAGCCCAAAAGAAACTTTCCTAGGGGTCTCCTAGAGCCACTGCTAAAAGCTGCTAGTGAAACAAGATTTGACTGACCTGGTGGAGGGTGACACGCCATTAAAACAGAGCCACAGATCAAGAGAAGTTCCAGTGCTGGAAAAAGGCAAGGAGTCACAAGTCTTATATAAAAAGAGATTTCCATATGCTGGAAAAATGCAAGGACTCACAAGTCTTATATAAAAAGAGATTTCCATATTAAAATTTGTCAAGACAACATGTTTTTATTGTGACAACATGTTTGGAACACACAGAAAGTATGCTTGAAAAATAAGTTAAAAGCATGAAGGCATGTAATAGACCAGGTACTGATGGAGCAGAACACCATGTAGGTTGCAATATCAACCAACACTAGGAACTGCTGCAGCCTGGGGAAAGAGACAAGACTGTTGGGTGTCCTTCAAGCTCTAATTGATGACAGATGAATCATGGATTTTCACATTCTCAGCCACTGCTTAAAATTCTCTTCATAGCCATGTACCAGCCCTGAATGTGGCCTTTGAAATCATAAGCAAGGCCTTAGGTCAAATAGAGCACGTGCATATATGTCCCTAGCTGAGCAGCCAGGGGATCTGGTTCCATTTCTGTCATTGACTCTTCAGGCTCCTGAATGCAATCATTTAAGCTGCTACTTAACAGATGCGTAACAATTTTCTGTCTCACAGGTGCAAGCCTTCACCTCTGTGGGTCCAGGACCTATGTCTGATATAGCAGAGAGGAATTCATCAGGTATGGATGACTTGGATGCTATCTCATTGTGTAACTGCTGGGAAAATCAATGCTACAGGAGTCTGGTATATAACTAGCCTGACACTGTGTATAATATTTGTCCCACCACAGAGGGAATCGTTACAGCTTCTGACATGAAATGATTAACGCATTTGTTATCATCAGATTAAATTTCAAGCCTTTCCTCAAAACTATGCTAAATTGACTTATCTAGGCAACCCCAGGGTAGCATGGAACAGCAGGTTGCTAGAGATCATAGAATATTTCTAATTTGGCAGTGAAAGGTAACCAGGAGAGTTAGAGATCTACTAGGGGTCATAGGCTATTTCTAGTTACGCTGTTAAAGTAATCAGTTGAGCAGATCTGTCTTTACTAGGCTTAAATTTGTCAGGTAAGCATCCACAGTGCCACTAAAAAAATCTTAGGAGTTTGCATGTGATGACAAGAAGGCATCTAAATATTTTATTTTTTGCTGTGGCCTATGAGCAAATACAGTTTGTTCGGGGCCATAACTTATTTTTATCTTGTACTTGTTTTCCTTATGAATGACTGCTGTTGTCTAAAATGTTTTTTATAAATCCTGCTGTGCCCTTTTCATTTCAGATCTTTTCCCTGTCCCCACTCTTCTAACTGTTTCTGCCAACCAGTTGTATCTTACTGACATAGACAATAATCATACCATATGGGAACTTTCAGCAAAGATAAATGTAAAGGACATCTGTTACACTGCTAATGATGATAAAGCATACTATATCATAGGAGATTCTATTTTTCTTCTGAATATAGAGACTGCTTCAAAGTTTCAGGTATTCCTTCGTTCATTCCCTTTCTTGAGACAATCTCAGAAAATACGTGGCCATTATTGTCATTATTTTGGGGCTAATTATGTTTTTGAAGAAGTCACAGCTGCATATTTGAAACAGGAAAAAAGTAGCATGATAAAATAGGGTAGGGAAACAGAACTGCAAAGACATAATTTTCTTAACAGTTTGTATGAGGTGCAATATGAAAGAGATTAGCTGGATAATTTTTCTTTGTAGCAGTATAATAAAGATATGTATAACAAAATTTGGATTTTTTTATTTCACTTTTTTTTTCATCAGTAGCTATTAGAATAGGCTAGAGTATGCCATTGGTAATGTTGTCCTATTAAACATGCATGATTTTGCTGGCATCTGCTTTGTTCATAAGATATTTCAAAACACATTTAATTTAAGTTTCACACCATTAAATAAAAGCAGTTTTGTATAAAATGTAATTTAATTTAATTTTATTTTAATTTCAAGAATATAGAAAAATATGGAAACAACAATTGATATTTGTAAAATAATAGTTTTTATTTGTGTGAAAATACTGTAATTTCCATTCCGTGGCATCTCTTTATATTTTGACTTCTACTTGCCAAGCAGAAATCATTTGAGAAACAAATGTAATTTCACCCTGTCCCAGCATCAGGTGGGAAATTTGTGCTCTCAGACAGTTTTCGTAATGTTTTGGTTTTTTTCTGAAGTTTTTCAAAGATGCATACCTTCACAATGCCACAGCCATCACAGTTGACTGGATTGCAAGACATCTATTTGTTGCCCTGAAGACGCCGTGGAATGAAAATCAAATATTTGTTGTTGATCTTGAGCTGAAGATAAAATCTCTAAAAGCCTTGAACATACAGTTGGGTAGAAGTAATTCAACTGTATCATCTCTGTTGTCATATCCTTTCTTAAGGTAAGGCATATATCGCTAGTACCATTTTAAAACATGTTTTAAACATCATTTTCATGAAATCATTAACATTTAAGGATCAGAAAGGACTTTTTCTAGTATATCAGTCTTTTGCACTGTGTAAATCTCAGAAATCTGTGGATGCAATTCTACTTTTATACTGCTAGTTGAGCTTGGCCATACCTAATTTCAGAAAGAAGTGTATGTTTAAGTAAATATTCAAATTATATTTAAATACTGACAAGTTCTTCTATTTAAGTGACGCAAATGAAAGTCAGCACTAGACAAAATTTTTTACAGCAACCATTTTATCCAGAATAGTCAGTTACTGTTATTATGACCTTCCATTAAAAAAATATCCTTTAAACACCTGGACTCACTCTGCAAGTTTGCTGCTGTAGTTACCTTGTTTTAAACGTTTGGGAGGTTTGTGGCTGTAGTCTCTAACAGGACTGCATTTAGGGCAGATTGCTCAGATTGAAGTTTTTCTACTGTAAGCAATGCATTTTATTTGATAGCCGCTTGTACTGGATGGAGGAGCTTGATTATGGCAGCCGCATGTTTTATTATGATATTCTGAATAACACCGTGCACCACATTTTGGGACACATATCAGTGGACAAACAGATGAGGAACTACTGCACCTGTAATGTGGCAGAAGCAGAGCTAGGAAGACCTATGAGTATAGATGTGTCCGACTCCAAGAATCCCCAGCTGCTCTTTATCAGAAGAAGAGACGAAATATGGGCCTCAGATGTGGACGGTTACCACTGCTGGAGAATTACCAAAATACCAGATTTTCAAGGTTTGAGTGCTCTGTTATGTTTCTAGATTGTGATTCTTGCTGTCTCTTACATCAAACAATGTTCATTTCAGCAAAATAGCATTAACGAAGCACTTTTAAAATGAAATTTATAGGCAAGATGGACAAAATGTTTGTGTTCTGTGTTTCTAGTTGTACCCTGTTGATACAAACTAAGAGAAAGAGTAGTGTGAGGATATTTACTGATGCAAGTATGTATTCTCACAAGATGTAAATTAAATGGAGATGCTGCAGACTCAAGTGTTACTAGTCAAGAGATTTTGCTTATAGTATTAACACATTCTGCTAGAGTTTCATATTAGATACACCTATTACACTTTATTTAAATGAAAATATACTATACCATCATAAGTTATACCTGAAAGTGGTACTGCAGACTTCAGTAGGTGGGGAGGGTACTTCATGCAGTTAGTCTTGTATCACAGTTTATCTATGTTGTAATTCTTACAGTGATAATCTTGGTTGCTCAGTTTTCAGCTCAATTCAGGAGGATTGCCAATAAAGTTGTTCTGTTACCAGAGGAGATGTCTTAGCTGTTCCTGGGAGATGGCAGAGCATCATGGTTTTCGTCTTGGAAAAACGATTGAAGTTTCTATAGACAACTCTTGTGCTTGTTAACTGAATTGCAGTTCTCATATTTATGAATAATAAAAAGCCTTCAAATCTACACTTGTAAACTGAAATTATGAAGTGTCTCACCTTCATGAGACCTATTGGAAAATATCAGGAATCTGTTTTCCAGGGGAGGTCTTTGAAGATATGGTATGACCGAGACAGATACCCATATTGACTCAGTGCGAATATAAGCACCCAGCTGCTCTTGCAAAATTGCCTGCTCAAAGTTTATTCTAAAGCTTAATTATACAATGTTTTCCTACAGGTAAGAAAATTGGCAGCTTGACTGTAGATAAGAATTTTTTATACTGGAGCACTGAAACAAAGGAGTACACTGAAATTTGGCGAGCAAATAAAGAAAGAGCAGGACAGTTTCTTCAGAAGAGAGCAAATCAAGAGCTGAAAATCTTAGCCTACAGTTCAGCGGCGCAACTGTATCCAGGTAGAGGGGATTTGGGTTGTTTTGTAAATGTAATAAATTTATTTCAGAGCTTGTATTTGAGTTGCAGATCATGCTGTATGTGTTTATGTGAAGTAGGCTTTATGGATTCAACAACCTTCTAGAGGGAAACAGTTCACCATGTACATTTTTAGCAGGATTAATATAACAACCGGCCTTGTGTTGATTCACATGGGAGGGCATGATGATGAATATTTCCCATGTTTCAAGGGCTCATGGTGTTAACTCCAACCATGCCTATTTTCAAAGTTCTGTCAGACCTGAAGACTTAGAAAAGGTGCACATTACAGGACAGAAAAAGAGCGAATGTGTCCACAAAGTGCTGCAGCAAGAGTCTGATAATGATCACCGTTATGATACAGATTTCTGGTTTTGCTCACAAGTACGCAATGCTGCAAAAAAGTCTGCCCTTCCAAAGACAAAGAGATAAGAGCTCTGCTTATTGAAATGATTTGTAAAGAAATATCTGAGAGGCAATTACAGCTTACATCACAGTAGATCCAGTTTTCTCTTAGAACTAATATTTTAAACAAACAATCATAGAATGATAATGAAAGAAATTAGTTTTAGGAGGAAGTTAGGATTCATGGTACCTATACAGGTTATCTTTTTAAATGCAGAGGCTTAGAACATGCCAGCTACTAACATGATAAATCTATTCAAAATGATTCTTTAACTTCAGTTTGGCATAAAAATTAAAAAACATACAAAACAGTATTTTAACAGGATGGACATCTTTGGAATAAAAGAATTCCACTTTTCTGGGGGGCAGCCGATAGAATTACTCCTGCCTGCAGCTGCTCTGACCAGTGTCCAGACTATCCTTACCAGCACTTTGGGCAAGTTTGTTCTCATGAGGTCTGTGGGGGCTTGGCATTGGTACAGGAGCCTGGTTTGGACCTGGTACAGAATGTACCAATCCCTGTCCCTAGGGATAGGGTTTCCTGCAAGAGCCCCAGTCTTAGCTGGTACTGAAAGGGAAGAACTGGATTTCAAATCCAAAATAATCCAAGGGGATTATTTCTATCCAGAGACTTTCACAGAGCCCTTCTTATTTACACTGACTGATTCAAATATATTTGGAGGAATACACAGCCTTAACATTTGAGGGAGGAGGGCAATGCATAGAATTAATTACTCACGCAAGTTTAAGATAAAAATAAAGGAATGTACTAAAATAAGAAAAAAAATACTTTATTCTCGGTACTGAAAGCAAATGGCATATATGCGAAAAAGTGATGTTTGCAAAGACCGGTTGGGTTGACTGACATGCTTTTTATTGCTTTAGTGATGTGAGTAAGGAGTACTGCTAGAGTTCCCTTTCATTCTAACCAATTTAATTGCCATCCAGAGATGTGATGTCAGTTGATCATTTGACACATCAGAAGCACTCAGTGAAAATTATTGTCCTGTCACAGATTCTGTGAGAGAACGATTTCTCTTCAGGGTTAGGAGGACGGGGACTGAACTGAAGGATTGATGTGAAGGGAACTGAATTGCAGGGGACTGTAGTGAAGGATTTTCCTGTCAGGGTAAACACATTTCTATGGAACTGCCTGACAGAAACTTTAACCCTGAAAAATGACTCAATGCTTTATTTCATTTGGGACTTTCCCCATGGGAGTTTTACTACTCTAGGTAACTATAAAATTGACAAAGATTCAACCTGACATTTATTTCTGTTGAACAGACTTTGTTACTCTTCCCTCACATGCACAAGCCTGACTTAGGTAGGAACAGTGGGGTTGTTCATTTAGAGAGGAAAGATCTTGGCAATGAGGTCATTTGTTCTGGCCTAAGGGCAAATATTTGTCCTTGTACCATCTTCCCCATGCATGCCCCTTAATCTTTTCCTTCTCAGCAGCAACATCATTTAATATATATTTTTAATTTGTTTTTAAAAGTACATCAATTGAGGAGGGTTTTGCTTTTGTTACATTTTGTTTACTGTCAGAAAGTAGGTTTTGGTTGTTTTCTCTCTATAGACTTTACTCCTCCAGTTTCTTCTTCCTTTTCCCTGTAGACTCCTTTTCTTTTTCCTTTCCCCACTGTTGCTATGAACTTTACACATGAAAAGCTGTTTGGTAGAAAAGAGAGACAACATTTAATTAGTAGAGAAAGGTACTCTCTGTTCTTCATATCTGTCTTTCCTGTGACAAACAAGTTCAGACTCGTCACTGTGTACTGCCCTTGATAGCACAGCAATTAAAAAAGAACTAGAATTACTAAATTCTTTAATAAATCTGTATCTTATCAAAGACAAATGAGACTTACCACTATTTTTATGTCAATGAAAGTCAAATTAAGTGCACTGAGGTGGGATTTTGTTTTTCTGTTTGTTAAAGCAGAGAGAATAATTTGTGGTTATGTTTTCTAATAGGAGTGGTGGTAGAATCATGAAAGTTTGATTTGATCCAACAATAATTAATTTTCTTTTTTTTTTTTTTTTTTTTGGTTGTCTTTCCTAGATAAAAGATGCCTGATTCCATTCACATACACTGAGAAACCTACTATCCTTGATACAACGAACACCAGTTTTATGTTGAGTTTGCCATCTGTCACACCACAGCAGCTATGCCCTGGCATATTGCAGCCCACACCAACATACCTGGTCTTTCTTGGACAAATGGCTAATAGCCACAGAAACTCAAGCTACCGTTTGTCTGATCTACAGGAAAAAACATTGGTATGGCTATTTTGGAACAAAAATACACGTGGCATCATATATGTAGAGAAATGTAGTATTTTTTTCTAGTCATTTTATAAGCCATTCTGTAACATTCAAGCAGGAAATTTTTCCACTTCTATATCCCCAACAATAATTTCCCTTTCTGTTTGGTATTTGTTAAGTGGTAGATTCCTTAGCTTTTCTTTGTGCAAGTACTCTTCTACTTTTCAACTTTTTTTTTTGCTAAAATCCTGTTGAAACAGGTTTTCAGTTTCTACTTGTAAAAAGTGCAGTTGTGGTTGATATTAATCTGTTTAAATCACTCTTATGACTGTCCATCAACCAAATGGCTTGCCTTTATGTGTTTTGTGGTAGTTGTACTTGCCTTAGTAAGTTTTACTTCTCTTACATTTTTCTGACTTTGCATTTCCTATTTAAGTACCAGTTACTGAACGATGTGGTATTGTAGCCATGCTAATTACACCTCAGCTTGGTTTTGGTATGTGTTTTCTGCAGTGACCTATTCCTCAAACTATCATTTTAACTTTCTTTTTTAAACGCTAAAGTGTATTAGAATAAAAAAGCACTATTTTTGAACCCTTGCTCCATTGACAGATGATTAGTGTGACATATGAAACTCTTTTATATGAGTACATGTACTACCTGATTTTGAATTACAGGAATTTCAGGGTCCTGTAGCCATCATAGACAACCTACAGCCATTTTCAAGCTATGTCATACAAGTTGCAGTGAAAAACTACTATTCAGATGAGGAAATGCTGCCTATGGGAGAAGAGACAATTGGCACCACTCTGTATGGAGGTTTGTTTCACATTTTATTCTGATTTTGAACAGAATCCTCATCTCACTTAAAGGAAGGTGTGTGTAAGTTTGGGTTGTAAATCAGAAAGCAGAGAAAATTTCTGCTTGAAATGTAATCTGTGTAGATCTTTACAAGGTTTTGGCAACCAGACTTGATGAATCTGTAAGATTCATGGCATTCATGTATTCTTTAATGCTTTTGCTCATTGGCTTCCTGAGATAATATAAACTATGATTAAAAGTGGCTAAATGGTTGCAATTTCTGCCTTGGACTACATTTTTAATAAATTGTGTTTGAATGTGTATGTGGTTACATATGTTTAAATTTGTGTGTTATGTATTCATTCAGCATTAAGATTTTTCCACTTGACTTGACATTATTTTCATAATTACTGTTTCTTAGGGTGATTCAGATTTGTTTTATTGTGAACCAGATTGGAAAGGCAACTCTTCATTTTCTCTTCTTTTGGCCTGAGTGCCAATCTCACATTTTCAGTTGGTTTCAAGAATTTTGATGTGCCCTTCTCAGTCCCTTTCACACTAGAAAAAAGCTAGGAGTACTGCTTTGAACTTGAATGTTCATTGTGTCATTTAGGTCAGAGAGTGGACTGGTTAGGGATTACTTAATATATATAAGTACATCAGTAAACTTACCTAATTATGTAGGAAGGAAGCTGAGAAGATTCACTAGGAGTGAGTGGGTGAGAGAGGTATAAGTGAAGTTATGATGGCAAGTGTTGTGGGTTGGTCCTGGCTGGATGCTGGCTGCACATCATCCCCTCCTCACCTGGATAGGGAAGAGAAAATATGACTGAAGAGTCAAGGACAGGGAGAGATCACTCATCAGTTACTGTCATGGGCAAAACAGACTTGAATTTGGGAAAAATTAACCATCCCAGTTTCCCTGAATCTCTTGTCATCTCCCAGAAAATAAAAGAAGGATCATCTGAAGGCACATGCTATGCCATTGCATGTGTTTTGCCTTGTAACCTAACCCAACAGAAGTATCATGCTCAGCACTTTTTCTTGCTTTGGATGTGTATGTGTGCACGTGCACACTTATCTCCGTTTTCATGAGGAGTTGCCTTTGTGCTGCTCTTCAGACAATTTTCTCATTGTTGGACTGATGCTGCTGGACTCAGCTGATGGAAACACGGAAAGCTATAACAAGAGATAGCTATTTCCTGTAGTATTCATAGCAGCTCCTTGCTCTTCTGTTGTGCAGCTGTGCTCCATTTATTGTGCCTGGTGTTACCAGCTAGGGTCATCTTGATCCACACAAACTCATCAATTGCAAAGCCATCAGGCACCTCTGACAATGCCCAAGTCAGCAAAGCAGAATTATAGCCATGTCTACATGTCAGCCAGTTTGTGTTTTGCAGGAAAGACTGGGAAAATTGTACCTAGGCATGCTTGCTGTTGGTGTAGGAATGCTATATCCCCCACCTTCATTAGTTTTCCTCCCTGGCTCTTGTCTTACAGAGCTGGGACAGCTCTTCTCTGAGAGTGAGTGTGGAAGTGAATTTGAAAGGCCCAGTAGCATGTGGTCCTTGGACATTAGCTCACTTAACCCAGTTACAGCAGGACTGGCAATAGCTGACATGCAGCTGTGTGGATATTAGTGACATGCAGCTAGGGAACCACAGGAGGAGTCCTAAGGCTTTCCCTTCTCTCTTTACCTCTGCTTGGCTTTTGACTGCTCCAGAAGGTGCTAAAGTGATTGATACTTAAATAAACACAGCCATCACTGTTGTTTTTCTTACCTGTCTCAAATCATCTTTTTCTTCCTGATCAGTTGTGCCCAGGAAGCATTTTATCCAGAGTAGCTGGTAACAAGTACATGCCAGGGCTCCTGACTCCCTTTATTCTTCTCTTGGGGATGCATTCTGTGGTTTATTTAAAGGTCCATCCATAGAACAATAGCCTCATCTTTTACCACCATTGTCCACAGGAGAGCATTACCTGTGGATTGCCAGTGGCTCCTCTTGTGCACAGATCATTCCTTGGGCTTTTTGTCCTGGGTAGTCATGTTTTTCCACTTAAGAAAACCTTTGTTTAAGACAAACCTTTTTTGATCTTTCAGATGAAAGTGGAACAAGAGCTGCGAGCACACTGCCTCTGTATTTTAGGGATCCAGGCATGCTATACTTTGGGAGTTCTCTTCCAAACGTGCTATTTTTTTTTCTTTTAGTAGCCAGACCTCTACATCTGCAGCATTTAGGCTCTCATCCTATGTGGATCTCTGAATACTACGAGCATATTCCTGAGGAGTCTGTGGCGAAAAAAAATAGAAAAATCCGACCGATGATCAGTACATTTCAATGGTTTGCATGGAAATCCACAGCTGTTGTAAACTTTGACACACGGATTGAGTCAGAGTGAATACTATTGGGATGTGGCAAGAATTCACACCATTGCTTCTTCGTGTGGTGACCTGAGCCATTCTTCAGCAATGTACACTCTTTCAGTGGCAAAACATAAAAGAAGCAAATTAAATGGGAGCCTGGGTTGCTCCACAAAAATGGAATTTTTCAGTCTCAAGTTAAAATGAAACATGAAACTTGGAACTGGCTTCTCTAGTTGGGGAAAAACAAAATTTTGGGATCAAAATGAAGTCCTAGAAAAAAGAAATAACAACACCAAAACCAAACCAACAAACTAACAAAAAAAAAAAAAAAAAACACGAAAAAAAACCCAGAAACCACACCAGCCCCCGAATCCTGAGCATTTTTCATATGTATCTGCATCAACATTCAAAGCTTTATACAATTTGCTGAAAGATTTCCAACCAGATGTAAACAGAATGTGTATGTGTCCTGGCATTTATGTTCTCAATTTCATGAACATTACTGGTAGTTTAAATTATAAACAGACATTGCTAGAGCCTCTTGAACTCTGTGTGCTGTTTCACACCTCTGAAGTTGTGTGAATTCCCTGTTTCCCTCAATTCTGTAATGAAATGGAAGAAGCTTGGATTAATCTGTATTTTCCAGCAAATAACAAGATAGTAGGAACAAAAAAAAAAGGACAGCTTGGAAAAATTAATGCATTGCTCTTGCCACAGAGTGTCACTCTTACTCCACATGTGTTTTATATGAAATGAGAAATTGTCTTCTTTATTAGACCAGCTTCTGCACATTTCATTTAAATAATCTGCAGTCTTGCTACTAGGACATACGTTTCAGCATATGTATCCATCATTCTGACAAATTGGGAATATAGTGTAATGACTTGTTAACTTTTTATTATACGGACAGTTCAGTATGAAAAAAGAATTATTAACACAAGGCTGGGGCAAAGCATTTACCATTTCAAAGTCTGCAATCTCAAAGCTTCAAAGGAAGGGTTGATTTTTCCAGGACAATTAGTGGGTAACCAGCTGGCATGGACACCAGACCAGCAGCCCAGTTTGTTTCTTACACAACTCAGACAGACCATGAATTTCTCAGCAAAATTGTAACTGATGGCAAAAAATGCTTAGTCTTGAGTTTTCTTCCTTTATACATTTCTGCTCGAGAAAAGACTTCCCTATTGGAATAGGGCACGGATACTTTTTTTAGTGCATTTCCAATTAAGCATCATATTAAACTTTATTGAATGAGACCCTAATTAGGAATCTAAGAGAAAGCAGGAATTCAGTGATATGACTATACATATAGAGACAGAGGACAGCGGCTGGGTTTTTTTTTTGTCTGCTTGCATGGTAGAATAGCCAAAGAGATGCCCCAAAAGTTCCTCAAAATATTTTGAAGATTAGCTGACTGACTGTACAGGAATACGAGTTTTCATGTGTAAAGTGTCAGTCCTGCAGATGGATTATATTCATGAGTCTCCTTTCTTCAGTGACATTTCTTGACTTCTCTAAAAATAAAACAAACAAGCAAACCTCTAGTGAGATCTGGACCTCAAAGGAGATTAATTTTAATTTCTGTTTCAGTACCAGAGGCAGTTCATTCCATTAAGACAGCGGTTTTGTCTGACACCACCATCAGCATATCTTGGGATGAACCTCTGAAGCCAAATGGACCTCTAGAATCCATCCGCTATCAAATCTCTGTCAATTTGTTACCTTCTGTCCCAGCAACACCCTTGCGAAAAAGTGAATTTCCAAATGGGATACTTGCCTGGTCTGTCCACGGGCTCCAATCTGGAACAAAAAATTTATTCAAGGTACAGTTAAGAGCAGTTTTACCTGTTCACCAACCTGCAGCTCTTTAGACTGTCTTTCTGTAGTCTAGTGTTGTGAAAAAAACGAGTTCAAAGCTTGGCAGACTTCTCCCAGTCTTGTTTGAAAACAAATAGTCTTCCAAACACTCAGAGCTGCTAAAGCCACCTTTCCCACTGGTCTGGAACTGTACCTTTTCCTTACCATCCATTTGCTTACCAGGTTCTTGCTTTTCATCCGAATGAGAACTGGTTTTCTGAAAGTGTCCCTGTTATTGCAAAAACTTTTGAGACTCCACCTGCACCTTTCAACATAGTTCCCAGAAATACCAGTTTCCAGCTACAGTGGAGAGCTCCTCTGCACGTCAATGAAACCAGCTTCTGGTTTGAGCTGCGCAAGGTAAAAATATCTTTTTTCTTTCTTTTTTTTTTTTCCCAAATCAAAGCAAATTTAACCCACTATGTCCTGGTGATCAGGACAGGGTAGCAGGATGTCTTTGAAGAGTCTCTGTGGATAACTTGGGCATGGTGACGTCAGTCTTGGTATCTCAGAAGGGGCAGGATGGAGGCCGTGTATGCCAGGAACAAGAGGGAGTGCAGCTGTAGTATATAATACTCCATAGTGTCAAAAGGCATCCTGGATGACCCCACCAGAATTCTTCACAGGTCTCCTGTTTCAGTAGAGTCCCCTCGCTCTTTCCTCACTGCCCTCCCCCAGCCTGGCTTGTAGTGTGTCTGCTCTGTACAAGGAAGAGAAGAAATGGGGTTTCAGCATTAAATATTAGCTACAACCTAGTACCTGAATTTTACTTTCTTATGATAGAGGTTAGGGAAAAATGTCAGAGAGATAAAAAGGCCCATTAGTGCAGACAGTAGAAGTAAGCACTGCAAATGACAGCCGCATGGATGGAAGCTTCAGATTTGAATGTCTGGACCACTGGAGACAGAAAATGTTATTTGCTAAACTGGATCACAAAGAATCCTTGATACAGGTAATAGGATTCATTAGACCTACGCCAAATACTTCCCTGTCCTAAAACAAATGTCATAGCACCATTCCACTAAACCACCTCCTTTCAATTACATCATGGCAAACCGAACTCATGGGAACATCATGGTGATCCAGAAATACAAGCTGCACACAGACAGATAAGCTAGGAGAAGTCTCCTTTTGGCTGCGCAAAGGGGTCACTTAATCTGTTGTCATTTGTGGCTGCCAAGACTTGTAGGTCTCCAGAAAACTAATTAAAATCCTGGATTTTTTGTCCTTGATCTCTAAGAGGACGTAGTCCGATGATTGAAACATCACATGTGTAATCTCTCCCCTATGATAATAAAAGGTATCAAAGTAGTTAATCTACCCAGGAATAGAACTGTGACACACTTTCAGCAGAGCAACAAAGCCGACCATGATGATATTTTATTTTTCTAGTGGCAAACAAAAAGTGACTGGTTTTCTCCTGCAACAACTAAATGCACAGCAGATCTTGTTTACACATGCAATCTCACAGGAACTATTCCTTCAACCAACTACCTTGTAAGAGTAACAGTAGTTTATGATACAGGATTGAAAAGCACTTCCTCCTCAAAAAGCTTTAAAACTACAGGTAAGCACTTAATGTAAGGTAATGAGATTTTAAGACTAGTTTCAGGACATTAATATTCAAACACAGTATTTTATACGTTTTAGTAGGCAATGTTCTTATACTGAGCGCCAACAGTTGTGTGTTTTTAAAAAATAAACAACACAGTTTTGTATCTGCAAAAGTAATAGGGTAAAGAAATGAAGTTCACTTCCAAGTGGAACAGAGGCAAAGGGTGAGGAAAACTGAAATTAAATGTCTACATGCATGTGAACTCATAACTACTGATGAGAGGCTGCATATGAATGAAAAATATGAAATCTGTCTGATGAAAAGACCAAATATTCATTCTACCTTGGGGGTTACTCATGTATATCCTTCATCTTTTGTATGTCTAACATCCATCTGCACATCTAAATTTTCCTCTGCGCCCATTACCCCTTTGTCTTGCTATAAACAAATTTAAAGTGTTCTGTTTCTTCCCCCGTTTGGCCTAAGCTGGTGTTCCCAGTAAGCCAGGAGTTCCAAAAAGAGCAGAAGACATTAAAAACTCTGTACAGTGGGAAAAGGCTGATGACAATGGAAGCAATCTGACCTACTACATCTTAGAAAGCAGGTAAGCTATGCATGCAGGCACTCTTCCCCATTGGGAGCCACCTTCATGTGCAGGGGCTTTCAGTTCAGCTTTAATGGGAAGAGTGAAACATCTATGGTGCAAATGGCCCTTCTCATGGGATCTCTTAAGCTAAGTATTCACCATTTCCAGAAATTCCTTGAAAACTTGGAAGAAAATATACGCCAGCATTTCCAGACCAACCCTGAGTTACAGAGATATATTTGGGTATATGTTGGTGAATTAGAAGAAGATTTGGAGACATTCTGAAATCACATATTTCAAAGATATAGTGTGTATTTTTGTCTAAACGCATATAGAAATATCTTAGTGCTCAGAGGACTTATGAAAAGGCATTATAAAAAATCATAACATAAGCCCACCTGCTTGGGATGACCAGGTAATTTTTGAAGTGCTTTGATGTCAAATACAGATTGCCTGGACTATATATGTCACACTCATTAAGCAGCTCTAGAATGTTCACACTTATTCCTGCACTGGCATTGGAAGGGCTGAATGGATGGGTTAGAGTGTACTGCTGTGGGCAGTGACTTTGAAATTTCTCATTTTTTGATCATGAGTCTGGAGAGATCTGTTTAAGGCAGTCAGTGGAAGACTTAATTAATGCATTATGTAAGAATGAGGAGAGTCCATCTTCTGGGATATTCCTATGACATTGTTTGAAACTAGGATTGATGGAGGGAAGCAGTTTTTGAAAGGTAGCTTCTTCCTCAGTTAACTCTATGCTTATGAAAACTAGGGAGTGACAGCACTGTGGAGCTGGGCATGCTTTACCTATATAAGTTTTCACCCAGACATATTTTCCTGGTGTTGTAAGCTTCCTCTATACAGTTCTGTGAGTATACAGCAACACTGACCTGCATGCTATGAGACCACAATAATTTTTATGTGCCATCAGCCAGTCTGTACCTGGCTTGCTGTCCATGAATAAACAAAGGACAGTCCCTTGGCCTGTGTCAGGGGTGTGAGTTAGCCACTGTGTTCTCCAGGCTGCGGCTTGTTATTCATCTGTGGTATCATACTTCTTAGCTGAGGTGTGTGTGTGGGTTTGCTTCTGGGAGCTGTTTTTTTTTGGGGGGGGGTGGGGGTGGGGTGGTGGTGTTTTTTTCTGGGGTTTGTTGTTTTTTTGCTGTTTTTTGGTTTTTAATGAAATAAGCTTTCTTCCTGCAGTTTGAATGTGCTGATGGTTTCGACTGAATTTTGCTTCATGATCCTTTTAGACCAGGTAGAAAAATGTTAGGTCAGTTGCATAGCAATCTAGAAAATAGTTGCTTAGCCCTTTGAAACAACCCCTGTTTTTCATACAGGTCTGGTAGAGCAATGTACACACCAGGGACATGATCATACAGTTTCCAAACGCCTTTCTGTTTTAGAAGTGTTTGACCTTTTTTCTGCATTAAAGTATGTTGGGAGAATGATTGACGTGCTCACGAACGTCATTTTATACGAAATATTACAGTCTTGTATGACATGAAATGATATTTCAAATATGGCCTTTCCAGTTTAAATACATGGTCTTCTTTTGGGTGGTGAATAATCAGCTCTGAATTTATTGTGAGCAGTCAATCTCAGTCCAATAGGGAAAGGAAGAAATACACCCAGCAGTCAGCAGATACTATGGGAAACTGACTAGCTGAAGAATTGTGTCTTCACTGCCAATGACTTGCTTCCTGTTTAGCTTGTGAAACCTGATGCACAAGAGCCACCAAATTACTCTGGGCCCAAGAAAGCAAAAACCTCTAACAGAAAACTAAAATAAAAGTTGGGATTTTTCTGTTTCTTTTTCTTTTTTTTTTTTTTTTGTATTCTGAAAACTTAAAAAGAAGATTTTGAAATCTTGGCTGTGAGGTGTACACTGAAACAGGTGAAAGAGTGCTGGAGCATTTTATGTCTAAAACATTCTAGCATTTCATTTCCAATGCCAAGCTAAAGATGTGTGATTCCTGGTATTGCTAAAATGGCATGGTACAATGCTTTGCTCTGTAGCCAAAACCCCATGACCAGACTGAGCTTCCATGCAGGCAGAGAAGTTGTGAAGGCCAAAGAAGTGAAGCAAAGAATGGAGAGAGGGGGAAGTAGTAAACTACCCTCAGTCTGTTAACAACATACTTCTGTTCTTTTGCTGTGCCTGTTGCAGGAAGCAGTCTGACAACACCAGCAAAGTGAAGCTCTTGTGGAAGGTGGTTTACAATGGCTCCTGTACCAGTATTTGCATGTGGAAGGCGAAGAACTTAGACGGAACTTTCCAGTTCAGAGTGGCAGCTGCAAATGTGCTGGGACTTGGTGAATACAGTGACACAAGTGAGGATATAATTTTGGGTGAAGGTATGTACTGTACTTTCTTACTCTGTTAATCAAGTTTTTGTTCAGAATAATCATAGCTATTTATGAATTAAAACCTGCTATGTTAATAATGATGTTGCTGCACTGGTTAAGTAATGTGTCTGAGAGGTAATAAATGGTGACATTTATATGGTGACCCGAGCTGCTGGCACTCATCCATACCCTTTTTCACGGAACTGTGGGCCTGTAATTTGCTTCTGCTCATTTATACCTGTTTGTGTCTGTGGCCCTGTACTCAGCATTGTGGTGTGATTCTTGAAATAAATGCAATCTCCCTCGCTGGATAAGGATGTGAGGATTACTTTGTGCCTTCAGCCAGAATGTTAGACCTATGTTCTGTGAGTGTTTAAGAAAATCCCACTTTGAGCAGCCAGACCGTTCAGCATTTTCTCTTTCCACGTACAGAGTAGGTTGTCACCACAGGAATGGCCCAGAGCTGGGGGAGGAGGATTAGTCTGACCAAATGCATACATACAGCCTACAAAAAAGCCTTGTGCAGAGGAAGACATTTACACAATAGGCAGGTCAAGGGTTCTCTCAGGTCTGCTCAACTCCATAGGACTGACATAATTTTTATACTCAGTCAATAACCAATTTTGCCCTTCTATTTACCAGATACTATGATCTCTCCAGATGCTATCATTGCCATTGCTGTTGTGACTGGAGTTGTTATGCTGGGCTTGACTGTGGTCATGCTATTTGGTTTTGGTATGTGGCTGAGATTTTTGCATATCCTTGGTTTGCCAGGCCTCAGTAAAATGCAGTTCAGATGCATAGGAGGTGATTGGCTTCCAGATTTAGGGAAATACTGAACAGTCCCCAGGGTGGGAGATGACAGGAATTTGTATAATCTTATATTTTGAGACCCTAGAGATAGGTTGTTATGTTTTCAGTATCAAGCACAGTACACCAATTCACTCCATTTCAGGCATTTCTTGCTGTTGATTCCCTGCAGGGAGAGCACATGAATGCTGAAAGAACGCAAATGTTCCTTGTATCCTTATAAAAACTTGTACCTTACAATTCTCAAGTTGGCTACTGTAGTTATTCTCCAAAGGATCCCATATTTTTCTTCTTAAGTTTTGTCCTTAAAGAAAGGATGTAGAGATTACCCTGAGATGTAGATGTCCACATCTGATGGTCCTGCCCTCTCACTCCTCATCCTTCCCCTGGGATAAAGCATCATCCTTTCAGACTAGGATCTTACCACATACGGAAGTGGATGTTTGATTGATTTCTCAGGTCAGGGAGCAGTTGCCTGTGTTTTGTGGGAAAAAGGTGGTGGCCAGATGGAAATGTCTTGCTTACATAAACTTCTGAGTGGTCATGTTGAACATAAGAACAAAAGCCCTGTAGCCTTTCAGCCTGCTGACATGTTGGGATGCTCTCAGAGTAAAATATCTGATGGTCTGCTTTTCTGTTCCAGTATGGCACCAAAGATGGAAATCCAGAAAAAAGGCTTTGCCTGGCCAGATAGTGTTTATCAAAGAAGATAAAGAACTAGCTCAACTCAGGGGCATGATTGATACAGTGGGATTATCCAATGCCTGCTATGCTGTCAGGTATGTCCTTGGAGAAAATGTATTTTCAGGACAAAAAACATCTAAGATTGCTTCCATGGACTAGTTTTCACCATCCCTGACAACTCAAGGTGGAGTTAAGGGCTGCATCTGCACTGAAAGGCAGATCTACTCATAAGTAGGGTCTGCCATGCTGGTTCTCTGGCAGGCACCCTGGCCTGGATTGCCCCTAACCCACCCTGCGTGTTCATGTTGGCAAGAAATGCAGGTGAATGGGGAAGGAAGACCTGATGTTTTCCAATAACTTCCAAAATAGTTGACTTCACCTGAGCCCTCCTTAAATGTATCTGATGAGACAGCTAGTTCCAGATTCATGTAAGGAAGAATTTTACCCTTTAGTAACATTTCAAATGTTCTTTGGTATGAGCAAGTGACCACTATTGCTGTTTTGCAGCATTCTTCCTTCTCAAGCAGAGATTGAATCATTGCCAGCTTTCCCTCGTGACAAACTGAACTTACACAAATTGTTAGGAAGTGGAGCGTTTGGAGAGGTGTATGAAGGGACTGCAGTAGATATCCTGGCAGATGGAAGTGGAGAATCCAAAGTAGCAGTCAAGGTAATTGCAGCTTTGTATTTCTCTGGCAACAGAATGTGATGTGTGTGTGATGATTTGGATCAAAGGTTGTACCATAGAAACAGGTGTTGAGAGATTTGGGTGTTTCCTTTCAGTAAAGCTTAGAGCTGAGCCTAACTCCTTGTAACAAATGCTGGAAAATAACTTGTATTTAAGGCCATGCCTATGTCTGATTGCTTTACTTAAGTGCCTTATGATAATGATGGTGGTGACCTAAGTTTTATTACACTTTTGCTTTCTGTTGAGTAGACTTTGAAGAAGGGTGCAACAGACCATGAGAAGAGTGAATTCTTGAAGGAGGCACACTTAATGAGGTAGGGACAGCTTTGCTACTGGGTACCCTTTGAAGCCAGTATCATATAAGGCTGGTAGTCTTCAAGAAGAATGAAAGCAATGCTTTTCTCTAGCCAAATTACTGTGGCATTTTGGGGGTGTTTTTTTTCTTCTAAAACTTTAAGTCACTACTGATGAATCGTATGAAAATAAAGTTATAAATCTGATTAGCAAAATTTAAGATACAGACTGTAAATTCAGTATGCTCATACTGAGGTTTGGACTGATGTAACTCAGCATCTTTACTCCCCTAAAACTAAATTAGTCATTAAAAGAAATTGGGCAACATTTGGCTAATCTCATTTTACCAGAATAAACATATCAAAACAAGGTGATGCCTTGAAGCTTCATTTTACAGTGGAAATTGCTTTTTAAAAAATGCGCATACTTACCACTAGAGGCTGCCACACACCCCTTCTATTGAGACAGACTTAAAAAATAATGCATCTCTCACCAGGGCGAGAATTTCACATGTAAAAGTCTGTGTGTCAGCTGGAAATCTGGTTTTCCAGAGTATCCACAGAAACAGGTAGAAGTTCAGCTGAAGTTTTCATCTGGTAACATAAAACTGGGATTATGGTTTAGTTTTCAGATGCACCTCTGCACATCTCTGACACTTACTTCATAAATGCAGAATTAGAAGCATCTTTTGAAAAATGAATTATTTTATACCCTGTACATAGAAAACAGTGTTATTAAATTTGAAATTGGTTTTCACAGCATCCTTTCTTGTATTTGTATGTTTTTTTAAAAAATGACTTGCATTTTTTGTCTTTTACCACACACTGTACATTGAATGAGGTAAGAAGCTTATGAAAACCAAAATGGCACCTTGTCATTAAAGTGTAAATTAATGACAAAGAATAAGTATTGTTTGTAAACTTTCTGCAATCTATCTTCAGTATATCAGTTAAGTTCTTGTTTCTGTGTCGTGTTGAAATTATACGTATCCATTGTTAAAGTTTCTGACGCTTCCCAAGTTCTGCTTTCTTGTTGCAGCTAATAATCCAAAGCCAGAAATCCTGGAAAAATATATAATTGGAAATTATTACATTTAAATGTAAACACTGATTTGGGCCACTCTGTACACCAATATAATGAGACAGAAATGAAAAGAACAGGAAAAAAAGTTTAAATGTTTTATATTCCCAGTAATCATTAAACAATAATTTTAAAATGATAATTTTATATGTTTTAAATTTTTTCTTTTCTTTTTTTTTTTTTTACATGAAAAATGAATGATTTAATTCTCTTGTGGAGGGCTTAATGTTTTTTCTTGATATTCATCTGTAAGGTCTTATAAATGAAACCAAGGGCAGAAGGAAAAAAAATAAGCAGAACTGGTTGTTTACAAACCTTAATGTTAGATATTTAAATGCAACTTTTATTTTGCTTCCATTTTGATAATGGTTATTGGCAAGTCATTTGTGTACAAATATATGTAGCAATTTCTTCTGTGTATCCATCACTTGGGAAGTAAGGAATGATAGCTGAGAGGAGAAAAGTCTGTGCGAGTTGTAAGGAGACTGCCAGGTGCTCCTTCCCCTCTCTTTGTTCTCGAGAGTGCCAAAGTTTGTCTGATTGAGAAATATGTGCTCAGGGCCAGGATGGGAGGGGCGGAAGAGGGGGGAAAGTGTCAAATTCAAAATCAAGCTTTTTTGCTGAAGTCTTTGCCCACACCTAAGATTATGTGAATTGAAAGAGATTAGAAGGAGAATGTCCCTCTGTTTTATTTGTTTGTTTACACTGGTGTATTTGACAGCATTTTGGACACGATCAGTTGCCCGGAGTCAAGTTTCTCTGACTGCTGATCTAAGTTCTTTCACACAGCCATGCAAAAAGGAAACCATTTTCTAACACAAGAAATGTGATTGCAAAAATATGGGCACTGATAAGGGCAATAAATGTTCTTCATTCTTTGAGAAGTGCTACATCTGAGAGTGCTGATTGCTCTGTGGTAATCCTTATCTTTTTGGACACACACAGGCAATCACTAGCATGTCTGCAAGTATTCCTTCTGCATATTTTGTTTCCTTGAAAACGTACTGTGAGAAACAGTTCTCCTCTAAATTGTAAAATAATACGTAGCACCTTGTGCTTTTACCTTTCTTTGCATTTCTCTGAATCAGCAGTTCTACTGGGAATATAGTAGTAAAAGTACTCTACCAAAATAATACAGGTACCTTTAATAAACAGGTGGCAATTCATGTTATTCTTAGATAAGATTGCCATTTGCTCACCTTTTTTTGCTTCCTAGAAATATGAAGAAGTGTACTTTTAATATCCATGCATGCATTAAATTGCCCAACAACATACAGTATAAGCTTGTGTTTTGAAAGGATGTCTATGAACTCTTCTCATGATTGAGCAGATTTATTACTCTGAGTTACTAAATCATGTTGCTGGTAAAAGCAGGATTGTAAAGGCCAAACTGTTCATTGCTTGCAGCTATATGGACTTTATTAGTTATCAATCAGCTGTATTTCTCATATGTAATCTTACAGTTGTTTCCTTATCTTTAGTAAATTTGATCACCCTCACATTCTGAAGCTACTTGGTGTGTGCCTGTTAAATGAACCTCAGTACCTTATACTGGAGCTGATGGAAGGAGGGGATCTACTTAGCTATTTACGAGGAGCCAGAAAGCAAAAGGTACGGTAAAGGCCATGAGACACATGGTTTTAACCTGCAGCTACCCACAGATTTTCAGTTTTTCCCTTTCTCAAGAAGTGGACTGCATAGTCCAGCCATATAGAGGATACAGATGTACCTCTACCTGTATCCTGAAATTTTTTAGGAGGAAAGAGGAGAAAATAATAAAGAATAAACATCTTTAATTATTTTTTTTCAGTTTGCATTCAGATCAATAATTTGGATGGTAGAATTGTAGATCAGAAGTACTCAACACTGAAATTGTATAGCATCATAGCAGTTGTCAAGTTCATTTACATGATCAGATCAAATGTACAGTCAGTATTGAATTATACTGAAATGTATATACGTGTATTTTATTAGAATAATATATTATACTGAATAATACAGCAGCAAGAAAACCTGATCTGATAGTAGGAGGAAATGTTCAGGGTTCCATTTCTTCCACAGTAATGAAGAAACAATTCTTAAGGTCCCAGGATATTCCTAGCCCTAAATCAAGGAACAGGATGTGTTCACCTGTCTTGCAGTGCAGTGATTTGTCAGTTTACCCTGACAGCATCTAGCATGCACTTTATTGACTTACAGAGATCTTGCACCTGTGCTTTGCATGTTTTGGAAAGATCCCATACATTTCAAATGAAGAAACAATACCATCTTTGCAGAGGGAGGTAGCCATTCTGAGTTTGTAAAGCTGGACAACATGGCTAACTTCTATCTTTGTTTCTTGTAGCTTCAGAGTCCTTTACTGACAGTGACTGACCTCTTGGATATATGTTTGGATATTTGCAAAGGCTGTGTCTATTTAGAGAAAATGCACTTTATACACAGGTACAGAGCTTACTTCCTTAGTCTTCCAGGGTTTACCCACAATATACAGAATGATTGTCTAATCTTGGAAAAAAATGCCTAAAAATATATCACAATGTATCAGGCAAGGTGAGAGCACTGGAGTTAAAATTTAATATTATACTTTTCTGCTAAAAATTGCTTACAGTTCTGTCACAAAATAGTAAGATCTAAGATCTAAATCCAGGACTCATTGCACCCTAGGCAAGAATTATATCCTGTGCAAAAGAGAGGGACATACGGGGAGATCCATTTACTGTTTTCATCTGCCTAATGGGTAGCCAGGGAGGACACAGAGGCAGACTTTTCCCAGAGGTGCGCATAAAAAAGTTAAGAAGCAACAGGCACAAAAGTTAAAGCAAAGGATATTAGATAATATTGTTCACAATGTGCAGGATCAGTCACTGGAACAGGTTTTCCTGAGGAGTTGTGTCACCTCCAGTCTTGCAGATATGCAAAACTTAACTTGATGAGGCCTAAGCCACTTGATCTGACCCTGAAGGTGAAATTGCTCTGGAGGGTTGAACCAGATAATGTCCAGAAGTCTCTTCTGACCTGAAATTTTCTGCAATACTAACTCCATCCTCTCGTTTCTGCCTTGCAAATCAGGGACCTGGCTGCTCGCAACTGCCTTGTGTCTAAGAAGGAATACGAGAGCTCTTCCCGGATAGTAAAGATTGGTGATTTTGGACTTGCCAGAGACATCTATAAAAATGATTATTATAGGAAAAGAGGAGAAGGCTTACTCCCTGTGAGATGGATGGCTCCTGAAAGCCTCATTGATGGTGTCTTTACAAATCGTTCTGATGTCTGGTGAGTAAGCGCAGCCACACAGCTGTGTCTCACTAAATCCCACAGCAAGAAAATACTGGTTTACAGAAGGAATGATAAGGTTGAATGTTGACGTCTTTAACAATTTCTAGGCTAAGGCAGATTTCCTTCTAAGTGATATTTTAATGAGCTAATGAGGAGTTTGGCACAAGACAGTACCTATATGGATGTATTTGTTAATGCTTTGAGCTCTAGGTGTGGATTCTGGTTGGGAAGAACTAGTGTCACCCAATCAAACAATTTTGTACTAGGCCCACAGTGTGGTTTTTGCTTGATTAGTCTGTGAATTTACTACCTGCATGCTGATCCATTTTGTTCTCCATTAGTTTAATTGGTATTTCTTTTCTACAGTCAAATACTTTCCCCATACCATTTCAACCTTCTTCTGATGACTTCTTTATTTTGAAGTACAAATTTCTTTGCATCATCACAAGGGAAGGTCACAGTACTTCACTATGGAGGTTTACTTAAGATAAATTTAGGGTGGGTTTCAGTTTATGATGAAGAAGCAGAGATCTGGTCGGGAAGCATGAAAAAAAACCCCAACCCAAGTCAGATCCATTAAACCAGACATTCACACAAGTTTTGATTTCGGAAGCCATAGGTAGTTATGGTGGGTTACAGCTCACCAATCTTGTCCAAGTCCTCAGCCTTTCAGCCTATCCATTTGGCTGCCACACATTCATCTAAGCAAGATGTTTAGTGCTCTGTGCCAAAGGAAATGAGGTGCTGATTGCTTTATGAGTGGTGCTTAGGAGAACTTGTCTCTCTCCATTTTCTACAACACCTGTAGAGATTTCTAAACACTTGTTTAAGAGATGACATGCTCAACCAAAGAGTGTTGCCCAGGGAAGATGTGGGCACTCAGTGACTTCTAAGCTGCATCTTGGTCTGGAAAAGTGTGTTAGTTCTACACATTTATTTTAGCTATTTCAGAGGCTGGACATCTGAATTGTTTCACAACAAATTGAAACTTCTTACTCCTAATTTTTCTAACTGAGTCTTATTCTTAGGTTAGACGCATTTTAGCTGTTCACAGGGAGATTGTTCATAATGACTATGGTAACTATTTTTTGTTGTTGTTTCTTAGGTCTTTTGGAGTCTTAGTGTGGGAAACATTAACTTTGGGTCAACAACCATATCCAGGTTTCTCCAATACAGAGGTTTTACACCATGTACGGTCAGGAGGAACGCTGGAATTTCCAAACAATTGTCCTGATGACCTGTAAGTTAATTTTGTTCAAATGTTGTTGATAATATTCATAAGAAACAAGAGACTTACTGCCAGGTGACCATTATTTTGAATGTTACTTATACCCAAGCAGGGTTCAACATCCTCCATTTGTTTTTTCAGATAAAAGAGGTAGCACTTGTAGCTGCCAACCTGCTACTAATTCATTCAGTAGTGGAGCTTGTGAGTAAGAACTTAAGTGTTCAAGCTGAATGGTGGATATTGGTCTTTTAAATGGGATTTCAGAGACATTATAAAGTCAGTCTTGGGCATGAACCTGGTAATAATGTGATAACAGACTGAGAGTGCCTGTCTGGCTTAAAGTTAAGATCCCTTTAAGAAAGAAATTACCAGCTCCTGCACACCACGTACATGTGATAGCAGATATAACTGTCTTTCTCAATGGCAGCTGCAGGAATTTGGCTAATATTAGAGCATTTGTGGAAAATAAATTGTGCCCTCTTTGCAGATATAACGCTTACAAAAGCCAGTAAGAAAGGCTGAAGCAGTACAGCAAAAGAGAAGTCTGCACTTCTGGATAGTCTTTAGCTGAGCTAGATAAATAAAGCTTTCAATTTCCATTTGTCTCTTGAGCACAAAATCCAGGTTTAACTGCAAAATTCTTGCAATGAAAAAGTAAAATTAATACATATAGTGGATCAATCCCATACAAGGAGAGGTGTTCCCACATGACATCCTTGTCTTTAAATTGGAGAAACATCAGTTTTACACATGGACCACTCGGTGGATAAAGAACTGGCTGGATGGCCGCACACAAAGAGTTGTGGTCAACGGTTCAGTGTCCAGCTGGAGACCAGTAACAAGTGGTGTCCTTCAGGGATCGCTGTTGGGACCGGTCTTGTTCAACATCTTTGCTGGTGACATGGACAGTGGGATTCAGTGCACCCTCAGCAAGTCTACCAATGACACCAAGCTGTGTGGTTCGGTTGATACGCTGGAGGGAAGGAATGCCATCCAGAGGGACCTCAACACGCTTGTGAGGTGGGCTGATGCCAACCTCATGAATAACCATGACAAGTGCAAGGTCTTACACCTGGTTTGGAGCTATCCCAGGCACAGCTACAGGCTGGGCAGAGAAGAGATTCAGAGCAGCCCTGCGGAGAAGGACTTGAGGGTTTTGGTCAATGAGAAAATGAACATGAGCTGGCTTCAGTGTGCGCTCTTAGCCCAGAAAGCCAACCGTATCCTGGGCTGCATCAAAAGGAGTATGACCAGCAGGTCAAAGGAGGTGATCCAGCCCCTCTACTCTGCTCTCGTGAGACCTCACTTGGAGTATTGTGTGCAGATCTGGTGTCCTCAACAAAAAAAGGACATGGAACTGTTGGAACAAGTCCAGAGGAGGGCCACGAGGATCATCAGGGGGCTGGAGCACCTCCCATATGAAGATAGGCTGAAAAAGTTGGGGCTGTTCAGCCTGGAGAAGAGAAGACTGCGTGGAGACCTCATAGCAGCCTTCCAGTATCTGAAGTGGGCCTATAGGGATGCTGGGGATGGACTCTTCATTAGGGACTGTAGTGATAGGACAAAGGGTAACGGGTTCAAACCTAAACAGGTGAAGTTTAGATTGGATATAAGGAAGAAGTTCTTTACTGTAAGGGTGGTGAGGCACTGGAACGGGTTGCCCAGGGAAGCTGTGAATGCTCCATCCCTGGTGGCGTTCAAGGCCAGGTTGGACAGAGCCTTGGGTGAGGTGGTTTAGTGTGAGGTGCTGCTGTCCATGGCAGGGGGGCTGGAACTAGATGATCTTAAGGTCCTTTCCAAACCTAACTATTCTATAAAGGAGGAAGTTGAATCTCAGCCCAACAATCACTCAGTATTTTCATGTCTCAGTTCCTGTATCACCCACTCTGCATAAGCAGTCACAGCAACACACCTGGAAGTTGGCCCTACAAATAGGAAAGGCTACTTAAAGTGCACAATTCTTACCCCTGGTGCTGAGAAAGTGGCTTGAGAATTAGTCTGTGATTGGCAAGCCCAGAAATCTGTGTTAGGTTTCAGATCAATTATCATGCTCTGACTTCCAGAGAGAGTGATTATTTATCATTATGTAGGTATAGCTGAAACACCATAACAGCAGTAAACAAAAAAAACCCGCGTAAGCTTTAGCACTTGGAGGAACTGAAAAACTGAAGAGATTAAGATTTTTTTTAAGAACAGAGTGAAAACTAGAAGTCACAGAACAAACAAGAGCCCAAAACAATTCCAGCTCAATATTTTCTGCTGAAAAAGTTGTCCTCAAAACATTGTTGACAGCTGTCCTGTGAATAAAAAAGCATAGGAGGTAATGTATATCCATGTACTAGTTTGATATTCAAGATAACACTAAGTCTTGTGATTTACGTATGAAACAAGTGACCAGATTTTGTTAAGCATTAAGAAAACTGATTGACATAATTTTTAAGGTCCCAGATTTTAAATTTAGTATATAGCAGATAGGGCTTAACCAGTGGTCTGCCTGTTGTAACTTGTAGGATAAGGGCCTAATAGCAGTAACTTAGTTTTTGAAAGCCAAAGGGCTGAATGAGCTCTTAGACTCTTGTATCACCTTTTATCTCATTTGGTGAACACTCAGCACCTGCATACAGCTTCTGTCAGTAGCCTAAATAGCTTTTTGCTACTTTGCTAGGTCATTAATGGCATGCTGGGATTCTTGACATTCCTGTTTCCCTCCTGGTGGTTTTGAACCTGTATCAGGACATCAGCAATCAGTAATTGTCTCCTCAGCACTTTGGCTTGCTCATTGTCATTTGACAAAACAAACCATCACTGATAGGAAGAGAGTTCAAAGGCCAAACTACTTCATAAGAGAAGTGTTTAGGAATCTGTTGTGGGCTTACACTGCAAGGGCAAGTAGGGCTGACACAGAAACCTTGGGGTGTAAAAGCACTAAGGAAGTGGGATTGTTTTGTTTTGGGTTTGGTTTTTTTTTCCAACAGGGGTGGAGAATTTCCCCCCCACTTCCACACGATGTTACTCCAGCGACTGCTCGTCTGCTTTCCTCCAAAGAAGCGTGAATAGGTGAAGCATGTTAATAAATTGGAAAAGGGGCTTGGGGATCTATAAATGAGACACATTAATTGAAACATGAATTAGATATTCATGGCACTACTTTTACAGTCAGAGATCCACATCTAGCGCAGATACCCGGGTGTGTGGTTTGCATGCAAGAGCATGCCAAAATTTGGGCTGAACTGAGTTAATTTAACAGAGGTCCTGGAAGTCTGTGGATTACAGTCAGGAGAATTTGTACAAGCCGCTTGCTTGTGTGCCGCTTGCTGACTCAAAACTGCAGTCTCACCAAATCCTCACTCCCGTGCGAAGTTACATAACTGAGTTTGATAAAGAAACTTTAGGTTGCCAACTAAGAGCTTCTGCTCTTTGGTTCCCGGAGTACCCTCCTAGAGGGATCTGGAGAAGTTCAGAAGGATGGAAGAGGGAAGTTCAGAAAGCATCAGATGAAAGCATGGGCTCTTCATCCCAACAAATTTCCTCCTTTTATAGGAAAATACCCACATTTTATTTTTCATTTCATGTGAGAGAAAATCGGTAATGTCCTGTGGCTTTTGTGCATTAAAGCTCATTTCAGGTATTGTTAACTCTATGAAACACTACTGGACATGTGGTTACCAGTTGTCCCATCCAGATAAAATACAGTTGTGAAGTGTAGCTGTGTAGGGGTACATCTAAGTGTACAGGCTATTTCTTAAACCTAACATAAACCTTTAACTGCTGTTATGTTTGGATCTGTTATTTTTCATTCCTTCCTGGGAGGGTTTTCTCCATGAAGTAGGGGAATCCTCTGTGTCTATTCCTCATACTAGAGCAACGTACTACTTACTAGCCCATGTTTGGCTCCCCCCAAAATATAGGAATGTGCTCAAGCTGTCATTCGTGTACATCTCAGGATGTTAACCTGGCTTTCACCCTCTGACTGGACTCATGATGATGCATTTCTGAGCTAGTGAAAGTTCGTGCCATTGACTTAAAACCTTGGATGTCACGACATGCCTTGAAAGCTAACTATCATGCCACAAATAGCTGTCCATGCAAAATTTGCAGAGATATTATGAGACAGCATGAATGTTTTTGCCATTAGAAACCTAAATCCAATCTGAATGAAATACTTTGTGGACAATATCAGTTCTATCTGGTATTAATATGTTAAGCCACCAGGCAAGTAATTTGATTTAGGAACTAAGAATGCGGTTTGTCATTAAAATGAGAAAATTCCAGTTCTGAATGTCTTGGCAGCAGTGAATATACCCACTCAATAACAAATGGCTTTTGTTATTGTGTGGGGACAATGAGCTGAATGGTTTTATAAAGCAGATTGTCCAGTAAAATAATAGCTATTTAAGAAAGACAGAGATTGGTTTTAGGAATACAAAAATGTTCAGAATCCACGTTTGTCATGTTTATGTTTCCTAAATGAAAAGAATGTAGATTTAGGTTTTATATAAGGAAGAATTCTTTTTATGATGAGGCTGGTGAGGCACTGGCACAGGTTGCCCAGAGAAGCTGTGCCTGCCCCATCCCTGGCAGTGTTCAAGCCCAGGCTGGATGGGGCTTTGAGCAACCTGGTCTAGTGGAACGTGTCCCTGCCCATGGCAAGTCTTTAAGGTCCCTTCCAATCCAAACCATTCCATATGTCTATTACTTATGTATTATTTCCTGTTTCTTTCTCCCTCTGCTGGTCTGTAGCTATTTCTTACTTTCTGTTAGAGGAGCAGTGGATTCAGCCAGGTCTTTTACTTCATTGCTACACCTGGCACAAGGCTCTTCTCATGAGAGCCCAATTGCTAAGCTGGAGCAGAGCACCGGAACTTCTGTTTTCACTTGGATATCCTACTAACCAGGATGACCAGAAAGCAGATTGTTTGGTTTCCAGCATCCAAGGCTGGCTTTCAAATTCAGTGTGATCCAGACCCTTTACTGGCAGTAGAAGAAAAGCCAGAGTTATTTCACCTAATTTTGAGTCCTATTCAGTACTTTTCCATCTATATTTTCAGTGTTTTCAATAACCAGTGTGCCTGAAAGTAAGCTAATGAAGTGATTCAGAGCTTTTGTAAGTCACTACTGCTTTTTAGATTCTTAACATGGATTTTCAAGATTTCACTGGATCCTCTCAAAAAACAGAATCACTTTGTCCAGCTCTACAACCACAGTACAGGTCAATGAAAAGTGGTCCTGAAACAATTTTTCTACTCACATTTCTCACCCAACACCAATATTTTAGTGAAAAATATCACTGAAAAAAATCAGAAGTCAAGAGATTTTTCCCACCTGTCATGAAGTCTTTTGTAAAATACCCAATTGTGCTGAAGGACGGTAGTCTCCTTTTTAAGATGGAAAAGCAAGGATCTGAGCAAGCCAATTCATTTCACATAACGCCTGGTATCACATAGCAGCAGGTCTGGGAGGCTGTTTGTCAGGGGAGGATTTGAACTTAGGGCTTAGAGGTGAATACTCCACATTCCAGTAGCAGCTTCCTGAACCCGCCTTTCACTGGCTGCTAAACACTGCTCTCTGGCTTTGCGATTCTAAGACCTCCCTCTACTCACAACAATTAGCATGTCCAGATGCTGACTGTGTTTTGGTTTTCAGCCTGGCTCCCCTGACTTTTGTAGGATTTGGTTTTGTGTAGCCTGGACTCACCCTGAGAAAGCAATAATAAATTAGCCCTATCCTTTACACAAACAGGAGGGGCAGTTTTCCACTGAATAGTACAGACAATGTACGAGGTGGGCCAAGATCCCTGAACCCGGAGGAAAATCATATCATTTTTGCCTTTGATGAGAAAACTTGCTCCTATTTGTTTTGGTCTGGAGACAGAAGTCTAAATTAACCCTTTCTGTGCTGGAGGGTTCGCCTTGAACATATCAGAAATTTGAGGTGGCGTGAGTTGAAAAGGATTAAATAAACTGGTAGCTTCAGGTTCATTTCTGATTTTAGATAGCTTTTCTTTTTCCTGTGAGAGAATCAGCTCCTTGTCTGCTTTCTTAGAAGCCATTGGTGACTTCCTTGGTGCAGATATTAGCGAGTTTTCTTTTCTTTTGTTCTTTTTTTTTTTTTAAATATGTTATAGCTGCTTCCAATCTCAAAATATCTCTTTGGAAAATTAGAAGCATTCATGGGGAGTATTCCTAACAAATGATCTTTAACTGGCTTTTCCTTCAACAGCTGATGATAATGTTTGTACAACATATAAAATTTTCAGAAGTTGAAAATCTAGGCCAGACTTGCTTCTCAGATGATTTAATGGGGAGTGTTGCAGTGAATGATTCTATTACCTTTAATGTTTGCCTTTTTTAACAATTTTTTTCTTCCAGATGTGACTTAATGACAAGATGCTGGGCCCAAGAACCTCACAACAGACCTACTTTCTCTTATATTCAAGACAAACTGCAAGAGGTAAGACACTCTCCACTGTCCTTCATCCACTACCTAGAAGACAAAGAGGCAGCAACTGGAGTCATTAACCAAGCTTTTGAAGGTGAGTGTGGGTCAGCACTTGCTGTCACCATAACCTTTTCCTCATGAACAAAGTGGGATTCAGCAGTTCTTTTCATTGCATTTGTCACTGCCCCAAGTGCTCTACCTATGAAATGGGAACAGCAAAGATTTATCTGCTAACAAACTTGTAAAGATTCATCAGGTGCTGTTAAGTATGATGCATTAGGTAAAACTTATATAAGATTACCAAGCAAAAAGACCCCTGTGAGGTTGCAACTAGCCTGCCTCACAGAGACATTCAGCTTGCATTTAAATTTTTGATACTTCATGACCCTGTTCTGCTAAAGTAAACGCTTAAGTTTCTTGTACAGCCAGAAGAGCTTTAGAAGGCTTCTGGTTGAAAATCTGTTTCAATTTCAGAGGCATCTACTTCCTCTCCATCATCTAAACATGGCAGTTAGGTGTTTTCTGTAGGAATACTGAATTGGTAGTTGCCTGATAGTGAGGCATAAATTAGGTACCTAAGCAAGGCATCCTTTATTCTAGCCTGAACTATGATAGCTCTAGCCTGGAGACACATCGTGCCTGTGCTCTGCACACTGTGAATGAATGAAATTAGGTGATGTTAGGGAAGATAAACTTAAGACATGAGGCACAACAAATCCCAATTATATGAAAATGTTAAGATTGTGAAGACAGAAATTAAAAAAAAAAGGTGATGCTAAATTTGAAGTTGTCTGTGCAGCTGTGATTTAAATTATCTAAACATGGAAATAAGCATCCTGACTGGGCCAGAACAAGAACTTTTCACATATTGCAGTAATTCCTGACTGGCTAAATCTTGAGCACAAGTGAAGCCTTAGTAAAAAATGTAGTCTGAAAATCTGCAAAAAGGAAGTTTTTATCAGTTGAAATACTTCCCTTTTAGTTCACATGGTGTGGTTGTTTTTTTTTTGTTTTTTTTTTAATTTAATCCGTTTGAATTCTATGGTTTTCAAATAAAAAATATTTCTTGTTAAAAGAATTTTCATTCCAAAATACCCAAACCCTAATTGTTTTAAAATGTTTAAGGGCTTTATTTTGGTTTGGTTGTGTGGGGTTTTTATTTGTTTGCTTGTTTATTTGTTTTCTTTACAAAATGTCATTGAACTAGGAGCTCACCCAGCTTCATAAACAGATTTGGTACACCAATACTTTATGATTTCCTAAAAGTTTCCCAATCCATTACAGGAATGATGCAGTACTCAGTTCCACAACTGTATAGTAATATTTCTACAGGATTCTATATATATTCAATTCACTGGCATTGAATATTTGCTATTTTGGTAATGTTTATAATGTGCTTCACAAATCTTTATCATATAGCTTTACAAGTGTCTGTTCATCACCATTGTGATTTCTCTCTATGTCAGGTCCAGTCTATGCATGACATGTTTTTATGTCATTACAAGACTAAGGACTTCATACAGACATGGTAGGACCAAAGTAAGCCAGCACTGATAAAATATCATTTCTTTTTAATTTTTTTAAGAGCAGATTTTGCACCCTTATTCTATAATGAAAAGCTTTGGGTATTTGCATGTACTGTAATTTCCTGGTTTCTCCGAGTGCATCTTCGCTCTCAAGAGTGTAGTTCACTCAAGAGTGCAGAGATACTTAATCTGGCACAAATCTAAGCCTGCAATTATCTCAGGAAAGGAATACGGCCAATTAGTTAGTCACTGTGCCTGAGCTAATAGGTCTTACCTTTTGGATGGACTTTATCTCACCTAAAAGCAGCTGTCTAGAAGCTTGACGTCTCGTCTAAGATACTGTTCTAGATATCTCTGTAGTCAGGAGCAGAAACAGACATCTGCAGAGTCAGAACTCTGATGTTTAATTTTCAGATGGCCACAGGAACACAATATCCACTGGACACAGGGATGTACTGATTTGGCTATTTTGATGTACTCCCAAGCTAGTGTGGTTTCCTAACTTAGATGTCTTTTATCTGTGTTCCCTAACTCCACAGGCAACAGAGGCACAAAAACTGAGGGAGTTAAGAAACTCTTCTTTCTTATCACAAAACAATTACATCAGTATCTGTTAAATTGTTTTGCAGGAACGAAGCTAAAATATGAGCCTGTCCTGCTGCTTGCAGTTGGGGAAAGAGGCTCGAATATAGGTTGTCATCATTTTAGTGGGGCAGGCTTGGCACCGACATAACTTACAAGAACTTTCAGCTCCAGTGCAAGTATCTGCTTAGCATGGACCAGCCAAGCGTGATCTTTCCCCTGCTGTTAATTTCCTTAATGCAGGCAAACCATTACTGATTTAGTTGATATGACAAATACATATTCTTAACATAAAAAACATTATTTTGCCAAAATTTGAGGTTCTGCCACAAGGCAGAGGTTACACAAAAAAGCCATTGCTTATTTTTTTTTTACCAGAGACAAAAGTAGTGTTCTTAGAAATGGCCAAGTTATTGAAAAGGAAAATTTGGATTGACTCTTCCACGAGAAGTTTCAGTTTGAATGGTTAATATTTGGAAAAACAGTTTACTACAGAAAATGTGGTTATATAATGGGCTTTTAAGGCGGTCTTAATAATACTGGTACTCATAATGTATGTTTTATTCAGGGAATCTGTTGCCAGTGCTCACTTTTAAAATCAGATTCTGTTAAGCCTGTTTATAATAACGTAGTAGGTAAAATGTTGCCCACTGTGGTAAGCAGGGCGATTCAATGCAGGCAGAGCTTTGGCAGTAGCTGTCAGACCCAGCCTGTTTTGCTTGACACACTCTGTCCTTGAGCCTTACCCTTTTCCCCACCAGCTGCCCTGTTTCTTCTAGTGCCTTCCCCCTGTTACTCCCTTTTCATAGGCTTTTCCCAGCTGTTGTTGCCACAGATCCACTACTGGATCTTCACTGGGATGGGAAGACAAAGCAACTATTTCCACGCCTCCATTCAGTGTTTTCATGCTTCAGTTCATGAAACTCCTCCTTAACTTCCCTTCAGGCTGCTTTGGTGATTTTCACACAGGGAATGCCCATCAGACAACAGTATAGCTTACATTTTATTCACCTACTTACAATCTTTTCATTTAAATGTGTTTTAAAAGGCTAAACACTTGATAAGCTCTTTACATGTCTCTATAGTGCACATGATTTTTTCCCCATGTATTCATAGTTTGCCTGTAGGTTACCTCCCTCTTTCCCCAACTACAGTCTTTCTAAGCCTGTTAAAATGTCATGCTGGGTATTTGACTGAAGGGCTAGAGTTCTGGTGATGTCTTAATGTTGCTGGATTATCTGACCAGGGACGCATGCATGTCAGTTTTCCGTAGCTCTCCAGCTACTTACTAATTAGTGAGTTTATAAATTTGAATTTGTTTTTAGGTGGGACTAAGTGAAGTACGTGTTGGGTTTGTAGTAGTAGTAGAAGGATGACAGCCAAAGCAAGTGATCCAAAAGACTGTTCCATGATGGATTTTCCTGGACAACATTTTCCAAAACGGTTATGCGGTCATTGGCCTTTGTGTGTAATGAAACTCCTGTCGTGAGCCTCCTGCCAAGAAATGCTTGCTCTTACCAGGAGACTTGGTTCCAAAAGTAAGAGCCAAATGTCACACAAAGTGAAACGACAAGCCTTAAAATAACTATGATACTTAGCCCTACATGGATTCATACATCTTCCAAATTTTGTTGAGCCTTACCTTCTTGTAGGTAGCTACACTTTTAGCTGGTCTGTGCATGCTGTCAGTGCTATTTCATAGGTGGGAGAGCTGGAAAACCTTAGATTTTCTCAGTAACATTTATGAAGGTTCAGTATGCCATACAGATTGTTAGTGTGGGTGAACTAATACAGACAGTAAGTATGTTAGTGGTCTGGAGAGCACTCTAACAGGGTAGTGTGGGTATGGCAAAAGGCACAACAGATTTGTTATTGCAAAAGTTACTCTTCTAAAGGAGGCATCAAGTGGCAATAAATGTGCCTGAGCAATACCATCAGCTTCTGGCACTGCTGCTTCAGAAGGGAGGGAAGCAAACTCAGGACCAGGACCAGATCTACCAGGTAAGAGTTTTTCCTTCTTGCTATTAAGAGTCTTTCCCAGGACACTGATTGTGGGCATTAAGTAGAATTAACAAAATTTTTTTTGTATAAGTGAAGCACTATCCATCTGGAGGACTGAGACACCAGTGGGTTTTGAAACCAATGGGAATTGGTTGAGCAGAAGCCCCATCACCAGAGTCCCCTTTTGGTTCTGAAAGACAGGCTGTTTTTCCCAGTTTCAAGAAGTGCAAATGAAATGTCATGAATCAGCATGCTAACAGGATTGCCCCGCATTGCTGTAAAAATAACCATCTATTTTCAGACATAACTTTTTACATTTGCACATACAACACAGCGCTATATTTTTTCAGGTCCTAAGTGTGCCCCTTTACAGATGGAAGCACCTGTTTGTTTTGGCAAACGTCTTTGCCGACATCAGACAACTGGGCATTGAACAGCTGGAGCAGCTCCTTGTCTCTATGACCCAGGAGGACTATTCTTATCAGGGCTGCTCCCCACAGTCCCTTCTGGACCTATAAGGAAAAAACATCTAATTGCTCAGCAGCTATGTCAGAGCACCAAGCTTTTACTGTTAGAAGTGGCTCCTCTGGTGAGAGGAGATGCAGGGCAGTTGGAGGAAACGCAGGGTAAAAGTCTAAAGAGTAGAAGGAAACATATTTGGCCTCGAAACCATAATTTTAAAATCCCTAAGATGGAGAAGTTGGCTGAAAAATGTGAGAAGTTGAAACAGAATTTTGTAATGTTTCTTCCCCCCCCCCCTTTTCTTTCCAAAGCCAGTCACTCGGTACATTTACTTGTTTTGACAATTAAGGTACTTGCTAAAAATGTTGCTTGTTTAAGTCTCTGTGCAAAACTTTGCATTGAGGGGATTTAATATTAAAATCTGACATCAGTGATTTCACCATTAATTATATGTCTGTGCTCTGCTGGCTAAGTAGTACTGGTTTGGTGTTCCTGTGTGAGAATCATCAGTTTATTTTCCTAAAACCAGCTACATTGAAAAACTATTTTGCACACCTCTCTGAACCTAAAGCAGTCACTTGGACAAATGAAGCTCTTCTAAAGTAGATGTGTTGATAACAGACATTTTTTAAACCTTCTATCTAGTCTCCTTTGTATTTTGCTGAAATTCAGTAATCCTCTTCCCCACTTAGCTTAGTGAGTGCCTGACCCAAAGCCAGCAGAGGTCAGAGAAAAGGCTTCTTCCAAAAGAGTGAGTGGTTACAACACTGCAGGATAAGGGGAACTTTGTGCTGTGGTCATTTCTTATTTGTCCCCTACACAAATGCTGCTTGGTTCCAGAAAGCACACATGAACCATGTGATACTGCAAGGAAAGTCATGCTAATACTTGCTAATACTGGACTGAAGGAAAAAAATTCAGATGATATGACGTTATAAGAGCTGACATTTGTGTGGCATGGGTATGTATATATAAGCAACTAAAACTTCAGTATTGAGTTTACACAGGCTGTCTAGGCTGTTTGACATCACCAGAAAGCTGTAGCTGTAGTTCAAGGGATGCTCTTGTGTAAAGTGTGTGGAATGAGCATCTTCACAAAGCTACTCTTCCTGCTTTCTCTCTCCATTGATTGTAAAGGAAGCCTAGGCAAGGGGCTTAAACTGGACATGTAAGATCTGGGTGATTAAAACTTAGCAAAATGAATCTTGCTTTGTGAACTGGATAAGGGGGGTGCTTGCAGCAAATTATATTGCAGCAAATGTGGAACTGGCCTTCTTTGGGCTCTGATATTATAAACAAGAAGAAACAAGATAATAAACAGATTTATATCTGTATTTCCCAAAACAGCTTCTTGCATGCAGAGGTTTCAGTCCACAGATCTTTGAAAAATTTGTTAAAATAAAAAGACAGTCAATGCTTCGAGCAGTTTAGTGCAGTGGAAAAGCTGGATGAACACAATTCTCACTTTTAGCACCTTTAGTATCTAACGGAATAGCAAAGCTCAGTGAGTCACCCTCAAACCATGCAAGATCATATGCTTCATTAAACAGGAAACACAGATGTATCTCCACTGATATATAATACAGAGTGGAGTATTAAAACGGATATATATTCGTTCTATTTATATTCTTACTGGCAATGTGCAGAAACTGAAACATAGCACCTCCAGCTCCAGGTGGCCAGCAGGTATCAAGAAAATACTCCCTACACAGGAACTCTCTCCTTGAGCTAATCAAGATAGCTGAGGTGGAGAAGTCAGGGTTCAATAGCCACTTTTCTCACCCTTAACAAAAACATGTCATCAAGCATTTCTTTTGAATGTGTTCACTGGGGGGTACATCTTTCAGCCATGCCAGTAAGTTGGCCAGTCTCTTGTTTATTACCATGTACGTTGTGTGACAGAGACAAAGGGCACACAGCGTATGAGAAAAACAAGAGGATATTAATGGGAAAAAGCAAATGTGGCTGCACTTCTAAATACTTTACAATATTGAATGTGCTGACCATCGTATAGGATTATGTTACCTAGAATTAGTAATGTCTCAGGCTGGCTGGTGTAAATCACTAGCATCCCACTGGTTTCTATGGAGCTTTGTTAATTTGTGCTAGCTGAGGATCTAGCCCTGAAATAGCTGTAATAGAAGATCAGCATCTCTAGATCAGTTAGTTCAGTCTCTACCAATCAGCTTTTCTGCTGACATATTTTTTCGTCTTATATGTCGTCACCTTCTGAACTTAAACACCAAAAAAACCATCTGCTTATCAAGACATCACAAAAATTTACACCTTCCCATGCAGGACTTCAGAACATGTTGTGAGCCCACACCGTCTATTGAGCAGGCAAGGAAAGGAGGCAGAATACATGGCACAGCTCAGCACCACGGCTGCCCCGTGGCAGGAAACAGCTGACCGAGATGCTGAGACAGGGAAGGGGGAAGCACAGATTTTATCAGGTTAAGACCAGTCTCCTCAGAGGAGACTAAGCAAGCAAACTCCATCCCTCATTAATATGAGTCAGGTAATAGTAGTTTCTTGTGTCAATTAGTGCGGGACTCTCAGGAGTAAGATTCTGCCTATCCATGGAGAGATATGTCATAATTCATTTACCTGCAGTTTGGCTCTGAGGTTGTGTTTTAAGTGCACCACTACTAGGAAAATTGTCCAGCAAGGTCAAAGCTACGTGCATTTAGGACCTGACACAGGTATCTATGCATGTACAGTGCTGAGCTTTGAACATGCCATTTTAGTTGTTAGAAACAGTCTACTTGAGAGAGCACAAAGCTCAGCGGGAACCTGCTTCTCAGCAGAATACTTAGCCTGTACAAAGCTTTGGACAGCCAAAGCTAGCTTGCTTCATGTCCTGAGGTACATTGTTTAAAAAGAAGGTAGGTAACTCTACACTATGCAGCAGCCCAGAGTGTAGACAACCGCTCAGGATTTAGGCGCTTGGAGTTGACTCTCCAGCACGACTTCAGATTCCATTAAGGTGTTCCTTAGACGTCTCCTCTTGGGGTGTTTTGCTGGCTCAGCCAGGCTTCGCTTGTGAAACCTGAGGGGATCACATCACATGGTTTATCCTGCATTTACTCACGTATAACACAGCATGACTATACATCAATCAACTAATTTTAGCAATGTTAAAACTGAAGAAAAAAGAATGATATCTTATGAATATACTGACCTGTCTCCACATCTATCTGCCTTCAAATTCTTAACAGTTTTTGAAAGGTACATCCAGAGATTATTCACAATACTGTGCAATGGCCTATAGTTCCCAAGGCGTTGGTAATGTTTCCACAAAGTGTAATGATTTTTTTCATCAGTTGCTCATTTTCAGTATCTTCCGTCTCCATCGGTTATATAACTAAGTGAGCAAAAATCATTTGCTTGTTTCGCTAACTTACATGAGAGGCAAGAATTGTACTACATAACTTGACATCTGTGCGTAGAATTTTTTTGGCTTGTACAGCAAAATGACGCTAAGCTTTCATAGGTGCCGAACACTGCGCTAAGAGAAGACATAACAGTGAAGGGCACTGGTAGTCAAAAATCTTATTGTGAAAGTAGCAAATTTCACCTACATTGTGTCATAGGAGAAAACTCATCAATGTTATATTCTTATCTGTTATATTCTCTATCTTTTGATAGGATAAGAATATTCTGCAAAAATAGTCTTTCTTGCTTATTTTGTTCACAAAATAAAACCAAGGCAAGGTTTGATTTTTTTTAAGCTCTTCTCTATAATGAGAAACACAGTGGTGTGTAGGCTGAAAATGTTTATAGTATTCTATATATTTTGTAGTTTTTCAGACCTGTTGGGGAAAGAATTAGTAATGTATCTATATATCTGGTAAAAATATCTCAGTGACCTCATACTCACATTTGTGTAAACATCACCTCATCAGTTCCAGATACTTATACAGGAAACAAATCTGAATGCTCCTCTAGTGTTCTATACTTAGGCAGGTCAGCCGGCATATGTCTGGTCTGTAAATACCCAGTTTTACTTGGGTCCTTATTTTAAGGTTTCTCTCTTAAGAGTTGGCTGCAAACATGCCCTCAGCATTTGCCAGTGAGCCTTTTCCAAAGCAACTTGCCCCTGAGGGTTCCCATTAAAAGCACTATTATACAAAAACTAAATACAAAGAAGAGCTGTACTGGTTGGTAAAGGCTTAGTCAGGATTGAATTACTAAATATTGCCATAATAGTCCTGAACTGACAAAGTGAGTATCAAATGATTTTTCATAGCTGTCAGTCACTGTGTTATGTGACCACAGTTTGCTCCATGTCCCAATCCCCATCTTGCTAACAGCTTGCTAAAATCTAAATTCTCCTTCATGTTTTCATTATAATCTTTCCTAATGTTCTATAGCATGCAGGACAGACTTCTGACTTTATAACTTGAGGAGGCATGTGATTATAGTGACATAATAAATTGTATGTTGCCTGGTGCAACAGTGCAATGCTTGCAATTCTTTTGAATAGATAATCCTGAATGTCACATGCTTAATTTTCCAGTTGTGAAGTAAAATAAGGAGGGAGTGTAATAAAAGAAGGTACATGTTACAAAAATAAATGCAAAAAATAGCAACGATTATAACTTGAGCCTTTAGTTAATAATTTTTACTTTTATTTTTTTTTAATATATCCCTGCAATAGATTTTTGGCAGCCCTATGTGTGAACAGCATCAAATTAGAGAAAAAATATAGTTTTAGAAATGGGAAAAATGCAGGGGATTGCCAAGTTCAAATCTTGAAAAAAAACAGAATATTACAAATAGTCTAGAGAGAGACATATATAATGATTTAGTAGGTAGAAAACTGCATATGCTACAGGAACATTTAGCAGCATTATTAGCAGTGTAAACACAAAGGTAGTTTAAAATTACTTTGTCTTCAAGTTTTATGCAGGCTGTCTTTACCACCAAAAGAAGCAAGTCATTTATTCACAACCATATTGCTGCCCGTGGAGGCATGAATAGTGGTGACCACCCTTCCTGAAATGATTTGCTTAAAGCTATAATCCATACAGGCAATAGTAGAAAATACATTCTAATCACTGGTCACTCTTTATGCGGTCCTAAACCAACTTTCTTCAACAGCTGTTTGATTTTTTTTTTTTGCTTTCTAATAACTACATGTGTGTCACTGGGATGTTCTCTCTCTTTTTTTTCTCTTTTTCTAATACAGACAGTGATGTTCCATGTGCAGATTCGGACAGTATTCTTTCAGCCACACTAATGGAAACAAGGAATCAAGAGGGTTTAAATTATTTGGTATTTGTCAAAGAAGGTAACCGAGATCAAGGAAGCATCAATTCTGCTGAGCTCAGTTAAGTCTGGTTCCGTCTGCTTGAAAGACAGAGGGAAAGAAGAGAAAAAGCTCTACCAAAGAAGACATAAGCCAAGGGAAATATTCTGCACATCTTCATAATTACAGAGATGTCTTTAAAAACCCAGCAACTCTCTAAAACTCTAAACCTACTAGATAATATCATAAGGCACTGAATCATGCATAGCAGAATAAGACAATTACATATCTTTTGATTTTCTACATGTCGTTTGGGTGCTTCACAGGAGATAAGTTTAAGGGAATAGAAAAATGTAATCGGACAGCAAGTGGTGTTGTTGAGGTGTTGATTAAATTTATGCAATCACATATGCCTCGGACACAAACACTTGTTTCAAAGAGCGAGTACTGCTATGATGTTTCAAAGAAGAGACCAACTCGGTCATGAAAAGAAAAAGCAGTTGAAATATAGCTTCATTGTGCACAAACAAGATCTTATAAATTGAAAATCTAACATAAATTCTTGTTTGATGATCTCCAAATCAGTAAGCAGATGATGAAGAATGACTGGGTTGCCCATTGCTGGGAATGTTCTATTTCACTATTTAATCTGAACAAATGCTTGCGATCATCTTGAATGTTAAGCTGCACTGGGATGGTTCTGTGAATCTAGACAGTCCTGTTTTCTTATATTACTTTTCCTTTCTAATGTTCATCATCCTTGCTTATTTTATTTTTTTATCAGGCTGGTGATCTCAAAAGTGAGATACTTTTCCTTTGGAGTTCAGGTCAAAGTACGCAATAAAATGATAAATAAATAATTACTAAACAAAAGACAGCAATAAGCTTTTGGGAACATTTCATAATGAACAAGTTTGCAAATTATGCAGAGCTGTTCACTGACATCTGTCAGGAAGCAAGAAACGTGCTCTGATTTTATGCAAATATTTTATAATGGGGGACACTAAATAGCTGTAGAGGGACTATGTGGTGGCAGAATGTGTACATATTTTAGATGTAACTCCACTGAAATCAAGCTTCAAAAGTTTCTTAAATGGAGATCCAACACAGATGGACAAGAAATATGCATTTTGACCATTTTACTCAAACAAAATAGAAATTGAGAACTTTAGAATTAGGATTCTTCAAAGTCTTTGACAAAGCCTATTCAAGCAGTCTATAATTGCGTAAATATTTTTCCTTCATCTACAAATTAGTGTACAAGACAGATTTGCTAATAACAGTTGCAGTACTTTGCTATGTTCACCAGACCATGAGTGACAAACAAATTAATGCTGTATAATGTTTCCTTCCTCTTTGAGTGCTGCTTGATTGGTTATAGTGCCATTCCTTTCATTTCAATAACCTAAATATGAGTGATTACTAGCTAGCAGCATGTGGTAGCCAGAAACCAGGAAGATCCCAGTTTTTAGTCACTGTACCTGGATGACTTCATGTGTGTGAGTAATTCCACTTAACTTAGGAGGACTGCTCAGTCAGCAAGCCACAAACAAAGGTTTTGAAAACTGCAGGACTTCATTTATCTTTTTCTTCAGCAGGAGAAGCTTCCAATCCTGCCAAAACCTTTGTTTAGGCAATGCATTTCACATTGTGAATGCATCTGAGATGTGATAACCCACATCAATTCAGTTTTGGGGATGTCTGAGATGGAAAAGAATCATGCAAGAGGAAATCCAATGTCCACTGGCACAATGTCAGCTCTAAGCATTACTCCATTCTCCCTCGCTTGTTTCCCTGCCTTAGAGAAGTGAGAATGCCAGTGAAACTATTCCACTATGTTATGGTAAAACTGAATTTGATGGTGCAAACATCCATCACCTACATCCACCCGTGATGCCACCTGCAAGGTGTTTCTTAATCCCTCACATTTCTGTATCACACTTCTATTTGCACATCTTCCTGATTTCACCTTCCCTATCTCACTGACGTGGTGTTTCCTCTCTTTGTTCAAACTCTTCTTAATGATTCACTTTTTACTCATCAACTGTTATTCACTACCAGGAGGACACCTCTTGCTTTCAAGCAGCCAGCCCCTGATGGCAGTTTTCATAGCTGCTTTTGGAGCCAGCAAGAGAGAGACACATAACAGGCAACAAGAATGAAAGACTTTTCTAGTGCTTTGATGCTGTGCAAGCATTTTCAACAGTATCTAAAATGTTAGTGTGTTATCAGTATTGTTTTGATTGCAAGTATAAAAGGTAGCACAAGACGTACTGCTGTGAAAAAAGTAAACTTCAATCCAGAAGTGTCTAAACCTGCCCAAGAAGAGGGGACATGTGCCCCCAGCTGGTGATCAGGGGATGCCCTAGGTAAACCTCCGGGCTAGAGCTGCTTATTGTCTCATGCTCTTCCTTGTTCCTTGATGCCAGTGCAGACACTTGGCAAGATCACTGAGCACCAATGGTGAGCATGCTTCATGATGTGATACCACACACAACCAATTCACAAGTGCTGGGCTCTCAAATAGCAACAACTGAAGTCTGAGCTGTGCTTGGACAGGCATACCATGTAGCTTTAGATGTCTTATTTAATCTCTCAGCTGCAGACTTGACATCTATATGAATGGATGAAAAACTTTTACTGTTACCTATGAATGGTATTTACTTCAAAATAATATGAATGCTGTGGTTATTAATTAAAATTTGTAAATGCGAAGAGCCAGGGCAGATGTAACTTATTTACTAAGGCAGCATTTTCAGTGGCATCAATTCTAGATCTGCAGTCTTCAGTCCCCTTGGTGTACAGCAGTTGGTAACACCTGACTATCACTGCATTTCTATTTGTCAGGGTTGCTTGCAAAAACTTGTGAGTAGGTATACACACTAATGACCAGATCTGTCCAAAACCTGAGTACCTCTTACTTTCCATTTGGGACCATAATCAAGATCCAATAAAGGAAAAAACAATGCTTTATGACAAAAGTATTGTCCTTTCTGTGTGAAAGATAAAGTTATGGAAAGTCCATGCATGTAGCTGCTGTTGAGAGATATGCCAGCCTTCAGTGGGATCACTAGCTCATCCCTATGCACCACAGAGGAAGTGCTCAGCAGTTTGACATGAGGTATGGGAATGTGGCTGTCAAGAGCTCTGAAGAAAAGCTTATACAGCCTGAAAAGAGTATTTTTTGAGATATGAAAGGAAAAAGATATGACTGAAAAATATGATGGGACTGAAAAACAAAGGGTGTCAAGATGAAAGGCAAAAGGTTGTGCAGTTACACCGCTAACACAACGGTTTTCTATTAGTCTCTGTTATCTGCAAAAACTAGTAAGTGGCGGGAACAAGAAACTTAAGTTCACCACAGCCTTGCCTATCAGAGATGCACAAACAAGAGTCCAGGGCTGAGACTAAATTTGTTGTTCCTCAACTTTCCTGGTATCCTAGATAACAGACTAGTAACATCATCTAGATCACAGGGTTCCTCAAAATTTGTTCCTCCATCACTTGTATGGAAGGGCCCAAAGATCCTTAGAGCAAGGCCATTGCACTCTTGCTTCCTACAGCTGTTTCCAGCAGAGAAAGTTTTGCCATCTATTTGGATTAACTGATGTCTCCAGGTTTTGTCTTTTCTTCTTTTTCTTTGACATCTGTGGCATGCGGCCTATGAGGGTTTGGGTCCTCAAGTGTGGCTTTACTGAGCATAGCCAGGTGAAACTGATCCTCTGTGACTCAGTTTTAGGACTATGCAATTTAATAATAACTGTGAAAGAAAGCTTTTTTCTACACTCAAATTTGCCTCTTTCTACACAAGCTGACCTTAATTCAGTTACAGTTGACTGGAAAATAGTTGTTATGGAAAAAAATGTCTGTAAAATAGCCCTGACAGGTCTGTTAATGATTGAAAAATTCTAATTCACCTTCATTATTTTTAATTGATTATTGAAAGTTTTCCTTACACAAACACACTGGAGTGATTTGCAGGAGCTTGCATGCCAGGTGGATTTTTCAAGTGATCATGGCTCTATTTATAATGACACTTGGCACATCCAACTGACATTATGTTTTATCTTTAATAAATAACCAGAAACACAGCACATCAAAGCCAAGTGATGATGCCAAAATATTGTCATTATTGCCGGTGACATGACTGATGCTGCTGTATAAAATAACCTTTTTTATAATGTGTTAACTTCTTCAAATGACGTTCATTTGGAGGTCGTTCATCACTGCCTTCTATCTTTTATGGTAAGAATGGAGGTGTAAAGCAGCCACTCTATGTTTGGCTACCAATCCCTTTTGCAATGCTGTTGACATAGCTGGATCTTCTTTTTCCTGCCTTTGTTTTTTTTCCTCTCCTATCTTTCCTGACAGCACAAGTCACTTAGTGCTTCTTAGAGATGAGGCCACTGAAATGCCTTTGTTATCCTAAGCAGTATAGTAAGCAACTGCTGGATGAAGCCTCAATCCATCCTGTAGGAAACTCAGTGGAGTTTCAACATTGTTTGGTAGCATCAAAATGTCATGATTCTGACTGATCTGCTGGTGAATTTCTCTTCACATATCCAATTTTCACACCTTTCCAGGAAGGCTGACAATGTGTAAGTTCTCAGTAATTTCCAGTCACAAATATATACAGCTTTCCCTTATAGAGCAACAGGAGAGACAGAAGTTTGGGAATCACAGAATTAGCCTTTTATGACAATATTTTTCTCACATCTTCATATTTCTTCAATCTGACATCATCATATCCCCAAGGATGGAAACCTACTCACACAGTGCAGCTTTGTGTTTTCCAAGTAGAACCTGACCAGCTTTGTGCTTTCATCATTTGTCTGCTGGCACAGTCTTTGTTATCTTAACAGAGGTATCACTGCATAATTTTTGAGTCTGTTGCTTAAAGAACAAAGATTTATTACCTACCTAAATCTACTAAAACAAAAATTACTGGTCATGATAAGCCACAGTCAGTTGTCAAACACACCTTGCCTGCCCCACTCAGAGCTGGCTCTTGGCTTTAGTGGTAGCATCACCAGTTAGATGCTGTCATTTCTCTTCACAGAAGCAAGCTGGGAAGGAACTGTTGGTCCTACTTCTTGCCAGCATTCAAGGTTAGCATTAAATAATCGATACAGACATAAAAATGAAGGGAAAATGACACATTTAGAAATTTCTTTAAAAGTCTTTGTGCACATAATCATGTGGTCTTGCAGCAGTAAGTTTATGTGGTCACTAAGGGCAGGGTGATATCTTACCAGGGAAAGGGTTTGACCTTACTGTAGCTCAGTTGTCATGCCTGCATGCA